TTTTGTTTGCTTACATGTACGACAAGCTGTACAACAATTCATGTAGTGACATCTGCTTGTCCCGATTTGTAAACACGAGGAAAAATCTGTTGAAAAAAAAACTTTTAACAAAATGGCACAAATATGAACAAAATCATGAGATCACCAGGTTTTGACCATCCAAGCGGCGATGGGAGTTGAGGCGACGCCACACAAAATACCTGAAAAAACGGGAAGTTCCTGTGGCTTCAGAAGAAAGGCCCTACCCAACATCAAGAAAATGGACGCCAACATTCCGCTGAGTTTCTGGTAACTAGAAGGAACACCACTGAAAAGTTATATTGTAATATATTTTTGTGATTTGAAAATCCATGGTCGCACGAGGAATGGCTCGAAGAGTCACGCTCGCTCTGCGATTGGAATCTAGCCTACAGAAAGCTTTTTCATTTAGCAGCTCACCCTGTTAATGTATTTTAGTCATTTCTCAGCCTTCATCAAGCCATTCCACGTGCGACCGTGGACTTCGAAGTTTCAAAAAAAAACATTTATTTAATACAACAGTAGCAATAACCTAATATCTTCTTTGACTTATCTCACCTGGGCGTATAAATAAGCGCCAAACTGCTGAAGTAACCGCAGGTGAGGGCCATCACAGAACAACCAAAGGTAAACCACCATTCGCTTTCAAAAAACACCTGGAAATTTCGCGAAAAAGTTGAAATCAATAAAATCGATGGCATAATGATAAAGAAGACGTCCAATACAATATCTTCCAAAAAGTATCTATATTCTACTCTGAGAATTGAGTCAAGAGTGAAGGAGCTTTCAAATGTCAGAAAAATCAGTTTATTTTTTTCTAGTTCAAAAACATTTTAACGTGGTTTTTTTTTCTTTTTCGTCATTTTTAAATGGGATAATTTTCCTGATCCAAGTCTTTCAAAAGTTTGAAAGCCCTCATGATGGTGATTTTCAACCTCTCAACATAGAAAAATATTTTCAAGATTACCTCTAGAAAAAAATGCTTGTTAACTTTCCATTCTCATTGTCCTCATTTTCCAAAAACGACTAACCGGCCATTTTCTCTGCCCATCCGGCCTGTAGTTGCAGAACATGAAGAAAGGGATGAAAAGGGTTCGAAGAACCACAGGAATCCACAAGAATTTGGCAGAAGGCTGAAATATCCCTACATCTTTGCCCCATGGAAGATTCAAGGAAAAGCTCACGATTTGCACATAATTCGCTGCAGTTGATCCGATCCAAGCGAACAAATTAAAGTTGAGGAAAGTGTTGATCCCGTAGTAAAGGTCGTCTAGATGGCGTACAGAAATTATACGCTATGGCGACTTTGAAAACCTGGTAATACAGAATGATCCTTGGCATACTTCTTATAGTAGGGCGTGTCGCTCATCATCGCGGGGAAAGATCAAAAGAGAGACGAAATAAACGTAGAAGTTGTTGAAAAGTTGAACCCAACACTGTAAGAAACAACGAAAATCAAGGAATCGGAAGCAGAACTCACATATTTGAAACATTGAAAGAACTGACCGACGGATGGGTTTTCAGACTCATCAGCCAGCCGCGCTTCGAGTCCCAGAGCCATGTGATGATGGTAGAACGGCTGGAAGATGGTTTTTTTTCTCATAATTCGATTTGAAAATCTGTGAAAGGACAACCATAAGCTGAAAAAGTCACGATTGCGTTTTTTTTTTTGAATGCCGGAAAGTGGAGTTTTTTTCTTGTTAGTTATCTTTTTGCGGCCGTTCTACTTTAGAAGAAGTAAACAGTAATAACCACAGTGATGAGTTCCGAATTCTTGAGTTTGAATAGCGGAGAGTTCTATTTTATTTTTTTATCTTTTTTTCATAATTTTAATATTTTTTTAAAGTTCTGTTGGAGGATCCAATCCATAGCAATCAAAGTAATAAATCTCCTTATTCTTGAAGCCCCTGGAACAGCAGTCCCAATGAGTTCCTTTATTATTAGAAGAATCTAGATTCACAATTCCTACTTCTCTTTCTTTAATTCCTTGTGTTGGTAAAGTGTCTCTCATAAAGATGCCACGGAAAATTTTGATTTCCAGTACATTTACAAGCTCTTCGAGGTCAAGATTGGTAAATGACTTCAGGTCTTTTCGGAGACTAAAAGTAGTCTTTTAATAATAAACCAAAATCTTCGACTAAACTTCAGAAAGTTTTAATTAAGCTTGAGTCCCAGGAAATTCCTACCTAGCGACCGGAATCTATCATCCTTAAAAAAACTGACTCACAAGTTTAACAAGAACATAGAGAGACACGAGACAGACGATCATGACGAACAAGGAGATGCTGAAGTAGAGCAAGGCGTTCAGTTGAACATCATTCGGAGAGGCTGAAACGATATTTTCATTTTTCTTTTTTTTTGTTTTAAAAATTACCAAGAGTGGTGAGAATACTCATCAAGCTGGTGAAAACACCGCAAAGATTGTTTCCAATGATCAACGAGTTGATGTAATTGTCTGGAAAGTCTGCGACGATTCCATAAACAGAGTTCTGGAAAACGTGTCATAATTATTTTTTTTCTTCCCTTTTCTGGATAATTTTCGAGCCCGAACAAGACCTTTTTCATAGATACTTGCTGTAATAATCACTTTCGGACTCGCAAGATAGTGGGACTCATATTTTTTTCCAGAAAAAAACCTCATCAGAATAGTAACTGAAATAAAAAAATTGAGCACGACTTTTTACTGCGTCATAATTATAGACACGTCAGTTTTTCGATTTTTGTTTGAAAAAAAGAATACTAAACATTGAAAAAAATAATAAATAACTGAAAAAAAGCAAAGTTCCAGTAATTAAAAATTACAGAAGTTATTTTTTTCCGCTACAGGAAAAATCCCTAAAACGGAAATTTCTGATCGCGACCGTGGCGTTTCTTGAAATGACAACTCAAATAATGACAAAAACCTGATAGATTCCATTAGCCAAGTTCATCAGCATAACAATAGTGAGTGTGACAGCGTAGAACCATCCGCGGTCTGAACTTCAAAAACTTCCTTTAATTATTCAAACATTTTCGATCACCGTTATCGTTCGGGGTCACAAAAATGACGAAAGCGACGATCAAGGCAATCAGAAAACAGTTGACGATCAGAGGAGCTACGATACGGAGCATCATCCAGCCTCTGAAACGGATCGAAGTTCTGGTCGATGGCTGAAACAGGAACCAACATGACGACGGCGAAGGTGTTGACGATCATGACGCCGACGTTGGGAATCTGCGAAGTCACGCCGATGATGCTCATGAAGCTGTTGGCGTAGGAAGTCGCGTTGCCGTCCACCGTGAACCAGTAGTCTTGGTAATACTACAATCACTTTCATCCTTCAGTTTTTTGTGCCTTGTCTTTTGATGTGTCAATGACAAATTTTCTTTGAGTATGAAATAAATTATCGATATTTATCATCATAACTTTTAAAGAATTGTCCTGGTCATCTAGTTCCCCAAGTTTCCTCCTTTTTTTATAATTAAGACTCGTCTTAGATTTAATAGCTTTTTAGCTCTTTCCTTCCACTTCGACTAAGCTTACGATGTACTAAGCAAAAAAACGCTCGCAGCAAGTGGGTGGAGCTTTGCCCCAAATAACATATACTGAATTTTCGACCAAACCTGTGGAGCAATGGTGATGAACATATTCCAAGACATGAGCATTCCGACTCCGTGCAACAAGAATATCAGGTAGACCTGAAACTAGTTTTAGAAAAAGAGTTCGTCCACTTGAACTGACCAAATAGTAAGAATCTTTTGGTGCGCTAAAAGAGCGACCCCATGAATTCTTCTCTTCGGCTTCTTCTGTTTCTTTTTCCGTGATGGTAGTTACAGAGTCCATCGATCTTAAATGATAAAAAAAACTTGAAAAGACAAATTTCAATTTAAAAAAATGACGCGAAATCCATGTTTCTTTATTTTTAACGCAGTGCTCAAAAAGAATGATTCTATGCATACTCTATAAGTCAAAGTTTCTCGAGGAAGAATATGAAAAAGGTATATTTGTGAAAAAAATTCTTAGACATAAGAAAAAAACGTGTTTTCATTATTAAATAAGCGAATCTAATACGAAATTTGATTTTTTTTTTTTTCAAACATTTTTTTCTTCTAAAAGCAGTAAGTGATCGTTAAACTACCCTTCTATAATCAAAAAAAAGGAGGAAATTCCGCAAAAAAATCACTGAGCAACTAAGGAGTGAACCCATAAAAAGAACACACAACATAGAAAACGAAAAGAGACACTCTTATCGCAATTTATTCATTTCATTTATGGCCGGGCACACCCCAAGTTGGTCACTTTTCCACATAAAACAAACAAAAAATGAGAGTAATTTATTAACAAAAAATCTTTCTTGACGTATAAGAACAAGTGAAAATGCAAAAGGCGTCTTTGAAAGTGATAAGAGATAATCGGCACAGATTAACACTTAAAACTGGAATTGAACAGTCCGCTCAGGAGTGCGCTTCGTTTCACAGAGAAAAAAAGTGAGGTTGAACAAACTCGAAATGCTCATTTCGAAGCTAATTTTTATGAAAAAAATGAAATATGGAAAAAAATTATATTTTTTTATAATTTAAAATTTTAAAAATTTTGCGATCACTAATTGAAACATGCCTGTATGAAGATCGAGGCTGGCACCGAATTTCTTTCGATTTTTCGCTTAGAGCTGTCGAGCATCATCATTCTCTCCATTCTGTAGATTTTTCAGGTTCCTGAATCTGGAAAAATATTTTTCATCTCATAAAAAAACTTCAGTGAAAAAGAGGAACCTTGAAAACAACTCTTATTCTCGATGTTTTGTTTTATATTGATTCATTTGCAATAAAATCCTACTACTTTTATCTATATTTTATTACGACGTGAATTAAGTGAGTTACAAGTTCATTTATAAAAAATGCCATCGGAAAGGAAGCGGGACGAAGAAAAGGAGAAAGAAGGCAAAAAGGTGACGATTTTTCAAAAGTATTTATAGTTGTTTCGGAAGACTTGGTGGAGATTCTAAACGTGCAAGAGATTATTAAATAAAATCGAAACAATGGGAAAACTCTTTTTGAGCTTTTTTAGGCTTTTCACGCCTTCTGCATTTTCGAGAACTCCAGAAAAATAGACTCAACATCGAAAAAGTTTGACTATTCTGCGCTCTCTTGCTCTTATGATATTTCAATGTTTCTACAACCTTGAAGGTGAGAGAAAAGAGACGCAGACATGTCAGACTTCTATAGGTATTGATGAATGGACTTCAAAAATTAGAAACTTTGAAAAAAGTACTTCTTAGAGGGCTATAGTTTAGGTAGTCTCTTCAAAAGTTCAAGGTACGATCCATGAGCCTCTAAAGGAAAAGCGACCTTAACAGCACTTTTTTAAAACTTTTTTGCGCCTACTTTTATTTTCAGTCCACTAGGGACCGCTAGCACTTTTTCCTAGAGTGACCACTATCTATAACCCTAGAAATGCCACTTTTGCAAGCTTAAGTGGCCCCAATAGGGAGAAGTAAGGCGGTCCCTAGAGGGAACCTACAAAAGCATTCAATTTTGCCCCTCCAGTGAAAACTCTGGCGTTTTTTTTTGTTCCTAAGTGAGGCTTCTTCAAATTGTATTCTTGAGTGTTATAAATACTTTAATTCAGGTAACATCAAAAGACAAAGAAAAGGAAAAGGAGAAAGAGAAAGAAAAAGAGAAAGAAAAAGAAAAGGACAGAAAACGCGATGGAGGTAATACTTCTGAACTTGCAGTACTTTTCAAAATGCAAATACGAACTATTTTACAGCGGTGGCCGGGGCGATGGGAAAGCAAAGGATGTTGCACCCGGGGAATGTCCTTATGGAACGGTACGAGGTCCAGGGACTCATCGGCGGCGGCGGGTTTGCTCAGATCTACTTGTAAGTTTAGGGATTTTTATTAATCATATCAGAACTTATCGATCAATGAACAATCAATCTAAACCCAGCTTGTAACGAAAATGTCTACGGAGACGTCAAAAAGCCTTTTTTTATCTCAATAATAGTGTTACATTAACAGAAAAATTGGAAAAAAATGGGCTGAAAATTCGTCCTAAAAGGCGCTTGAGTCCGGTGAAAATGCGCTTCACGGCTAACTGGTTTTTAAATTTTTCGCATTTTTTCTCTTTGTACGAATAAAGCATAAATTAAGAGCAAATATATTCAGAGCTGTTGACAATACGTCCAAGCAGAACTGCGCTATCAAAATCGAGCCTACTTCTTCGGATATTCGGAGGATGAAGCTCGAAAGTGCTGTACTGTTGGTCCTGAGAGGAAAAGTGAGTTTTGAGCTTTTTCAATGATTGGAAGAGTAATGATGCTTTGATCTTGATGAATTTTCATGTGTTCTGTGTTAACCGTTTTTGCAAGCAAAACAATTGTCCCATTTTAGTGCTGTGAAGAGACGGAACTGTGCGCTCCCTAAGTAGAATCTCACAAATTTGTTCAAATCCTAAGAAAGTTCCAAAAATCCTTGACTAATTTCAGACAGGAGTACCGGAAATCAAAGCGATGGGAAAGGCGCCGCTTGGCCATTACATAGTGATGCAATTGGTGGGCCGAAATTTGTCGGACCTCCGTCGCCAGTTGCCCAACAAAAAGATCTCCAGCCGAACGCTCTACCGCGCAATGCTCCAGGTGGAGTACACCTTGACGACGTCACTCCCAGACTATCAGGTCGCACGAACCTTGTCCTTGGCCCACGGCGCCGGATTTCTTCACCGAGACCTGAAGCCGTCGAATTGCTGCGTCGGCTTCGTCGACGTCACTCGGATCTACCTCATCGACTTCGGTCTGACTCGTCAGTACCTCGACAAGGGCGACATGGTTCGGAAGCCTCGGGTTGGCGTCGGCATGCGTGGAACTCTCAGGTAGGCTGTTTAGGTTCTTAAAATGGGGAGGCTATTTTTTGAATTGGTTTCAAAAAAAACTTTAGTGCATATGCTATCGAAAAGAATTTTGCAGATACATGAGCCTGGACGCTCATGCTCGAAAAGACTTGGGGGCTAACAATGACCTCGTCGCTTTTCTGTATACAACGGTATGTTTCATTGTCTTTCAAATTCACCTTAAAAGACAAAAATTGAACACTATTAAGGTAGAGAGTATTTCATTAGGCGCAGACTTGTTCTGCGCCATTTCGGTTTGGGCTGGGTTGGAAAAAAAAAGGCGTTTCGTCAACTTTTTCTCTTAATCGAATATGTTGTGAAAAACGAATATTAGGTTTAAGTTCAGTTTCACCTGTAACGTTTGAAAATTCTACAAAATGTATAGTTCAATTCTAATTTTTTTACGTTTCATGTGTCCTTTTTTTGAATTTATATTTACAAGTCTTAATCAGTATGTCCGATAGAAAAAAAGCTCAGAAGTCTGAAAAAAACAGAAAACCACTCTGGAACAAAAAAATAATGTTAAACCTTTTGGAAACTAACTGCGGTTTTTTTTTCAACTTTTTTTATTTCTTCCGAAAAAAATTTCAATGATAAACCTCTCAAGCCAGGAGCATTTTTCAGATAGAACTGGGCGATGGATCGCTACCTTGGACTCGTACCCGCTCTGCCGATGACATTATCAAGGTTTTTCTCTTTCTCGTTATTGTACTAACGAGTTTCAAAACAATTTCCAGTTGAAACAAGCATATGTGAACGAAAAGTTGTGTGCGAAACAGCCGAAGTTAACTAAATTGGCGGAGGTTTCCTTTTTTCCTACTTTCTATATTAAAAAAAATAAAATTTGATGTTCAGTATATCGAATCGTTGAATTACTACAGTATTCCCGACTACGATAAGATATTTTCATTGTTGGAAGAGTGCAACCCGACAGATTTGCGTGAAGATGAATGCTATGATTGGCAGAAACACACGTAATGTTCTCAGGAAGTCTGAAGAAAAACTAAGGAATTACAGATGTGTGATGGACCACAGTGTGCAGAAGGAAGCATCAACAGAGCTCTCAGAAAGAGGAGACACGGCTCTTATTAAAAAATAGACAGAAAGATAAAGATTGAGACAAAGAAATGAAAATGATGGCAGATTATCAAGACGAAACAGAAATTCAAACCGCTTTGAAGAAAACCGAACGTTTCTTAGCAAATCTAGGATCACTTAAGAGTGCTGACGCCACTTAAATGGTCACTAGAAATGCCCCGACTCGTCCGATTTGCTTCAGGTTCGTGTTAGTAAGGTTCGAGGCGGATTTTTATATAGTCCGTTCAGATTTTGAATCCCAAGTAGAATGACGTCATTCACGCTCTGTGGATGGCTCGCTCTCTGATTGGTTTATCGCGCCATTAGGGGGCGGAGCTTGAGCGAGGACGAAATTTAAAATCTTAACAGACTATAATGGCGCGTTCAGGAACAAAACGCGAAATTTTTCGAAATTCAAAAGAGCGTTCACGGCGATACTTCGAAATTAGCGAATTTCGATTTTTGAGATAATTTTGAGAAATTTCAAAAAATAGCGAGAAAATCGGTTTCGCGCGAAATTTACGGTATATTGACATTTTCTTGTGCCAAACGCAGTTTTTTTTTTTCTTTTTTTAGATAATTTTTTTCTTTTTATTTTTTTCAATTTTTCAACCCGTTCAAAGTTATTGATTTTTAGAAATAGTACGAATGAAAGCCTTGTTAATTTTTTTCGACTGTCTGAACTCAAAAAAAGTTCAATTTTTTTCTCAAATTTCGAATTTATCGTGTTTATCCAACGGATGTATCAGAGCGTTTGAAGTTGCAGGTCTCCAAACTATGGCGGGTATTGGATTACCGAAAGTGCTAAAGTTGAAAAAAAGGTTAATTTTTCATTCAAAAAAATTTTTTTCGCAGTTATTTTTTTACAATTTTTTTGATTATTTTTCACAAAAATTTAGACTCGTTAGGGAGGCACGAGCGGCTCGTGTGAAGGTAACGCAAAATTTTTCGTCTCTACAGTCAAGCATAAATCCGTGAATTTCGACGTAACGGTCAAGAAGAAAAATGGAAGGTTTTTTTATCTATACAATTTTTCAATAACTGGTTCATTTCATTAAAAAGAAAAGTATTGAATTTTTTTCAGCTCATTCGAACAAGACATTGTTGTGGCCAGCCGGATAAATTTGGAATTTACCATGTCTCGATTTTTGTCAAATACACAGCTTTCAACTTCTCTTTCAATGATTTTTGTTTTGTTTTTATTACGCGTTTATTTTTCTCTATCATTTGTTTGAATAAAGATGATGAGCATTACCTTCTTGAAAAAAATAAATGTAAAAAAACAAGCTGCTTAGTTAATCAAATTAAAAAAACCTAACAACAGAAACTTTTTTTGTGATGAGATGTTTCTGAAAGGCAGAAGAAAACAATGAAATTTTTTTATTAGAAAAAAAGTTCCATAAGGAAAGATCCAAGTTTCACGTGTAGTCTTTCGGCGAGTCCTTCGTAAACCGTTCGTCTAGGTCTGTAAGCAGAAGAAATTTTTCCAGAAAGGGAAAGCTGGTTGAACGGTGGTATGAAAAAAACACAAGCAGAAATTCAAACAAAAGTCGCCCTTTTCCGAATTTTTCATATCGCTAGGGAACTTTCCGACGGCCACCTCTCCGACGGATCCCTTTCCGACTTTTTTCCCTTATATTTTTCTGTTTATAAAACATCTATCAACATATTTTTTCCTATTTTTTTGTGTTTTAAACATGAATAACTTGCCTACTTTATATAGGGATATTTAAAACGAAAAGTTTATTGAGAAGAAAATTCGATAAAAGATTAGTCGGAAAGTTCCCTAGCGATATGAAATAATCGGAAAAGTGGTCGTTCGAATTTTTGCTGTTCTTTTTTTCATACCATCGGTTGAACCGTGGTATTCATTTTTCGTTTACAACTGAACAAGACATATTGACAAGACATATTGAAAATGAAAGAAAATAACATCGAAGAATAAGAGAACTCACGAATTTATGCTTGACTGTAGAGACGAAAATTTTGCGTTACCTTCACACGAGCCGCTCGTGCCTCCCTAACGAGTCTAAATGTGAAAATAATCAAAAAAATTGTAAAAAAATAACTGCGAAAAAAAGTTTTTTTGAATGAAAAATTAACCTTTTTTTCAACTTTAGCACTTTCGGTAATCCAATACCCGCCATAGTTTGGAGACCTGCAACTTCAAACGCTCTGATACATCCGTTGTAAAAAAAATAAACACGAAAAATTCGAAATTTGAGAAAAATTGAACTTTTTTTGAGTTCAGACAGTCGAAAAAATTAACAAGGCTTTCATTCGTACTATTTCTAAAATCAATAACTTTGAACGGGTTGAAAATTGAAAAATAAAAGAAAAAAATTATCTAAAAAAGAAAAAAAAAAGAAAAAAAAAACTGCGTTTGGCACAAGAAAATGTCAATATACCGTAAATTTCGCGCGAAACCGATTTTCTCGCTATTTTTTGAAATTTCTCAAAATTATCTCAAAAATCGAAATTCGCTAATTTCGAAGTATCGCTGTGAACGCTCTTTTGAATTTCGAAAAATTTCGCGTTTTGCTCCTGAACGCGCCATAAAAAAATCTTGATTATTTTGGAAATCGATGATGAAAAATTTATTCAAGTTTGCTCTATTGAACTAGTATTTCATTGAATGAAAACGCCTCTTTTTCCAATTTCGGAGCAAGACAAAATAATAAAAAACTTATTCCGTGTTAAAATAATTTCCGCAAACATGTGATAAGTTCACTATAAAAAAGTTAAAATACATGTTCAAAACTTTGAGCGCTTTCAAAATTCAATCATTTTTGTTCAAAAAGAAATATTCTCACTTGTCCGTTCTACCTTATTGAGATCATAATCTTCCAATTATTTCAACCGTGCTAAATCGGAGAATGAAGTTTAACAAGAACATGATGATAAGATTATTTATAATCAACTCTCTCTGAAAACCGTATAAGTGTAACACAAGGCAGAAGAGTTAACTGAAATTTCAGAGTAATCACAGAATCCAAGAAAGATATGAACCCTTAGAAGAGGCAACCCAGAACAACGTAAGAAACAAATGAGTAGAAATGAAAATAACGAATCGAGCTAGAAACAATATAAGCGACAGTGAGCCAGGGTACAATAGAATTCGAAAATTCCTGAGAATGAGTCTTGGGAAATTAAAGCCAAGCTGAAGAATCCACCCCTACAGTGTCAAAAATACGTCGAAACTGGAAATTATTTAAAGGAGGCAGTCCTTTTCGAAAACGAGCGGCTGAGAAGCATGTTTCGTTCATCACGGGCTTTATTTCTGGAAACAAAACACCTTTCTTTTTTTTTCTTTTTTTTTGATTGATAAAATCCTTTCTTGGTGTTGAATGTGAATGACACTCTCAAAAATTAGCGAAAAATAAGTTTTATATTCAGTTAAACAATTTTCCACATAATAGCTAGTTCTATGGAGAAAGAAATATCGTCAAATTACAACTTTTCTACTTTTTATTTTTGTCATTCAACTTTTTCTTTTTTTCAAAGAATAAGGGCATTTTTTATGAACCTTTCAAATGTATTTCTAGCCGCATAGACAAAAATCGAAATTTACATTCCACTGCAGGAAAAAAAGCTAAATTATTTTTTTAATCGATAAGTCTAAGGTTAGAAAGATTTGAGAAACGCGTGAAACAAAAAATCGAAGAGATATTACAAATAATGTTTTTTAGCCCTCTCTTGGATCAATTTCCGAAGCTTTTTTCTAACTTTCACACACCTATCTTATCTTTTTACTTTCCTACTCAATATTCTGAATATCTTCTAAGTGATTCAAGTGTTCTTTTTATACTAATAAACAGCACGATTTCCACCTGGACCACCAAAAAGATTGCATCTCGCCGACGTGTTCTCACTCTCCTCGTTCGCTTTGGATCTCAATTGCTGAGAAAGCGGATAAATGTGACCCTGAAAACCTCGGATTTTCATTCAGAAGTACGGAAGAATTTCTGACTTCGGTGGAAAATAACAGCGAGTTCTGGTGTCGGTTGATGGGATTTTTCAAGTCGAAAAGCTGGAATAAAAGTACTTTTAATGATTCATTTTATTTAAAACTACCAGGTAAAGATATTTCATAGTTTCCGAGAGGAAGAAGGACTCCATTCGGTCCTCAAGACTTCCGTCAATCACGTCATGGACCGTTGCGTATCCACATTCAACCTATGAACAATTAGTTTCCAAATGAATAACAGTTGCCGATATTTCGAAAATGTTTATGAAAACTGTTCATAACTAATTCAGTTTTCTTTAAAAACTAATCCTGAAAAGTTCTGGTAAGCCTTGAAATAAGACTTTGATTTTGATGGCCTCCAAGATACATGTTTGACTGTAGCATCGAAAGTCACCTTTGTAATTTTTTCCAACGAGGCCAAGATATCGAGTCCAACACGAAGATAGAACGGATTCTTAGTTGCAGAGTACCTAAATAACGCCTGCTGGAAAGAAATCGAAAATTGAAAAGTTCCACAACACCAACTTCCCTAGCATCATACTAGAAAAAAATTATATTTTACAGGCTTCACATTTTTTTATTTTGAAAGAGCGAAAAAGAAACCTTTCGTTTGCCGAAAAGTGTTTTTTTCAGTTTTAAAATTCATTGGAGGGTTTCTCTTTTTATTCCAGCTCAATTTTATTTCCCTGATTATTTTAAATGATTTTTCAGCAACTAAGAAACTATAAGAGCGATAAAAATTTGAAAAAAAGCCGCTAGAGAGTTTCCGATATAGAGAAAAATCTCACAATAAATAAGTAGATTCGGCGAATTCCGGACGAAGAGGATAAAAATTCACATCGGGTTCTCTAAACGACAACTTCTATAGAAAAGACCCGACAAATCCCAAACTTGGACCGCCAATTGTATCTTTCTGGGAGAACTCCAAACTTTTTCCAAACGGCGTAGTACAAGGCGTGGTGGCAGACGGCCTCTTCGACGAACCCTGCCAGGACCAAGAGACCGGAGAAACTGGCCTGAAGTTTTGATAGTTCTCAAAAATCGCAGAGAAAAGGGAACTTGAAGCGAGTCCATCCAGGTGTTAATTGTGGACCCGTCGCGGGAGTCCACGTTGACGTAAACTGGCGGCTCTCCGTCGAATTGCGAGCACGACTTCATCCTTAAAACTACGCTATAACCGGTCCTCGGTTAGCTCTGGACAGTAGTAACTAGGAAAGAAAATCGACATTTTGTTTGTGAAATCTTCAACATTGGTCAGAAAACTCCTTGATGTACCAGGAGACTATTCTGCAAGTCTCTAACTTCCTAATTTCTGAGAAATGACGGGTCGGCTCCATAATAATGTACTCCAACGGTTTTTGAGCCGTCACTTTAGGTTTGTGTTCTTTTTCAAAAACTAGAAAATTGTGCAGGTTGGATCTTTCAGGATCTTGTTTATTAACAACTGATACGGAAAAGTTTCAGCAAATTCCCAACCGCGAAGTGAAATGACGTTCCCAGTAAGAGGGCCTGTCTCTACCAGGCGCTATCTTTTTTTTTTCATCGTGTCAGGACCCATTTTCCGATGGCTCAAGCCAGTCGTGAACCATCTACTGTATTTCTTTCAAAAAGTACAAATTATAAGAAGCTTTTCTCCTCGTTACTTGTGAGTGTGAATTCGCTAAACCACTTTGTACTACGGAAATTCCTAAAAATCCCAATTTCAGAGATTGCTGAGTATACTTAAGTTACTTCTTCAGTCAGCTTTTTAAAGAATTTGTAATTACAATGACTTTCCCCGTGTCCTGATAAGCGACCTCTCAAAAGGGCCAAAAATTCGTCTTCTCTTGAATCAGTAAAAAGCTCGAAAAAATAAAAAATTAAATTTTTTTTTCTTGACATTGTACAAAGAAAAACTTCTAGAAAAATGAAAAAAAACATTTTCGCAGCAAAATCTAACTCACTGCCCACGACGCATGTAGAGGATGATTTTGTCGAAAACCGCAGCGAACATTTCAAAATCTTTGACATCGCCAAGTAAGATGTAAGCTGAAAAAAAGAGCCTTCGACTTATATTTTTCAGAAAAACCTTTGAGCAAGTACTCGTAATAGGAATCCAGGCCGGCTCCAAGACCAGCATGAAAATCGACCCAATCACCGGTTTGAATATTAACCAGATTTCCTAAAAAATAACTACTTTTCTCCTTGGAAAAATGGTTTTATAAACCGAAAAGTCCCGTAGTTGGATTTCTCAAAGACCACAACTTTTTGTTGACTTTGCGGGCCAGGTTTTCAAAAGTTTCATCTCCAAGAAGTCGAGACAAAACTCCTAAATTTCGTTTTTTTTTTCTAGCAAAGAAGAGAGGAAAAGAGTCAAAAAGGGAGAATCTCTAACCGAATTCGAGAAGAAGAGACCCCGCGCCAGCCGTACAAGTCAAATTGACAGTGCCAGGCAAAACTCCGCGTTGCAGATTCACTCGCGTGTAAGGTATACCTCCAAAATGAGAATGTACGGAAAGAAACATTGGACTCGAGAGAATGCACTGGTGATCATAAAACAAAACTAAAAATGTCTTCTAACCCCAAGAACAGCCCTCTTAAGAAACCAAAATCGTACCATGCAGACCAATTTAAAAATCGTCCAAAAACCGTTCTTATTTTTTACGATAACTTTTAAGACTGACCCACAGTTATCAAGGACTTCACGACACTGGGTATATTAAAACTATACACTTCCGTTGAATTTCTCTGAGGATTGAAAAATTTTGTACATACTGACTTCTGGCTTCAGCTATCGAAAAAAGTCCTGGGACAAATAAAAAGAGAGAGTGCCTGATTGGCAGACGCAGACAGGCACGCCTGTATGTTTCCTAGTCCGTGAAGGGGCAATACATGATCCAAAGCTTTTTACCTTGGAAACATCAGAACGCATCGAAAAAATTGAAGCCCTTGAGCCCAACCTCCTAAGCATTTTTGGAGAATGTCAATATTCCGTTTTTCTGATAAAAATTTCTTAATAACTACTTTTTCTTCCAAGAAAACTCAAAGAAGCACCGCACAAATGAAAAATGAAAAAGGTCACTCAAATCTTATTTCAGAATGACGCATTTCAGGATTCATCCAAATACGGTTCTAGTTACCAAACTACAAACAAAAGTCTATCCAGTCTTCAGAGAAGATACCCTGCTGAATCATGATATGAATGAAGAGTTGATCTTCCGTTTGGTGAGCTTGAAAAATCCTATCCAAAAAATAAACAGAAAATACCAGTGGCGGTGCCTTCAAAGGCAGGAAGAAGCCGCGTCGCGAGGTCGTGTGCCATTGTCAGCAGCTCTCCCTCGTAGTCGTCGATGTAAAAATCGCCGAAAGTTTTCTCGGAATCCGAGGCGATCATATGAGCCGATAGAAGACCTCCGATCACCCTGAAACCGTCAATCGAACTTATTCGACATCGCTTTTGATTAACCGAATAGTCGCTTCGAAAACCTGGACCGTCGTGTTGCGTTCGAAAGAGACGTTGTCGATGACAAGCCTTACCGATCGCTTGAATTCAGCAGTATCGCCTGAAATCTTCGAGGGTGAAAACAAAGACTTTTTTTAGGGGCTGAATTAAATCGAGCAGTTCTATTTCTTATCCTAAATCCCCCCCCCTTTTAAATTTGAGATTTCTTTAGTAGTTTTTGTCCTTAGAAATCAAAAAATCATGATTTTACTGCAGTAGAGCTCACGTTAGGATTTCGTTCATGAAGAAAACTTACCGAAAACAACTAAAGAGTCGAGAGAATCAATAAGAGTTAGCGAATAATCACCCAAGACATCATTGATGTTGATATTCTCCCTGAAAAAAGATCAATATTATTTTTCATACTGCCCAAACTTCAATTACCTTTCTATATCTCACACTTTGATTGGTTGAGGCATTTACAAACAATTGGGCAATAATATTTTGTTCGACATATTCGCAAGAACATTTTTAATTTTCAAATCAAAAGTTGCTTTCAAGAGAATCCCCAGACACGGACAAGGTCCGGGAGGACCTAACGTAGCTTTTCAAAAAAAAAAAAAGCTCGGAAAAGCCTCCCTAGCCACTTTTTTTCACGAATTTTTTTCAAAAAAGGTCCTTCCAAGAATGAAAAATTTTCAAAAAAAAGTTGTTAAGAAACTGAACAAAATCAGAGAAAACCCCCTCTAAAAATGGCTATAGCTCGTCTTAAGGTACTGAAAAGCGCCGAAATATCGAAGCCATCTAGAAGAGGAAAATCCTCGAAATATGGTGAAAAGCTGATTCGAAGACCGATACGCAAAAAAAAAGGACAAACAAGAAGTTTCAAACACTAATTTTCGACTTTCTCATGATCATAAGAAAACTTTTGCATCTCGTCTCCAAGAAAAAGCCCGTCTGGACTTTTCCCAGAGATAAAACTCTTCAACGCCGCAAAATTTTTTGACATTTCGAACAAAAAACCAGCTCACGGATGCTGATGGTCGGCACCTCTCCCAGTACAATGGATGGGGTCGAGCTCATCGGCCGGATATGCGTACCGCATATAGCTGTCCCAGCCCGTGTAGAACATCTCTCGAGCTTTTTGACGTCCATATTCTATTTTTTTCTAAAATACTCTTCTTGGTAGAGCTCACATTTTGAGACAGTTAACCTGAGAAACATAAGCATAGTCTCTCCCGGCTTCCTTCAAAAGGAAAAACTCGCTTGCATCACTCGAAAATCCGCAAAAAGCATGAAAAATCGTGCCTAGTACTAGAAGCCATAACGACGCATTCTCAAAAAAATATTTTTCAAGCAATTATTTATTTCCTTACCATATCTCTCGCATTCTTTCTGAAACTTCTCTTGGTAATAGGAGAATAAACAGTCAAAAAGCCCATTCAAATAAAAATTGCCATCAACAACATGCAAAAGATTTCCACGGAACAAAACTAAATGATACAAAATTTTTATCATGAGTGGCGGAATAACAAAATCTGGCAACAATATACATTTGGAACAAAGTGTACAACTTATCCATCCTATCCTAGACGTTCTAATGAAAAGTTAATATAGGCTGCTCTTCGAAGAGATTTTCCTGATTTCCAAATGGCACTCGATTGAACCTTAGGGCTTTTCAAACAAGAAAAAAAGAACAAAATTATGCAAACAAAATTTGCTATAAATGCTTGTGGATTTCTTCGTATATCGCCATAACGAGTGCTCCGCCGGCACTTCTGGAAAATCGAGTTATTAAGATTTTTTTAATAATTGTTTTGACAAAAAAATATCAAGTAAATGATCTAGGATTTTTGTGTTCACAGTAATTCCGCAAATTTCAAAATAGCCGTCAGAGAGTGAAAAAGATAACTAAACTACGGAAGAGAAAAATTTTCATTTTGCGAGAATTTAATCTTAACACGGCCTGAGGAAAATAATATCAGTAAGGAGAAAAACTGACCGGAAAATATTGGCGAGAGCTCCTTTGTAAAGTCCTCGGACGCCTTCTTCGGCGATTATTTTCTTGGCCGAAGCGAGGGCGTTCGCCGTACTCAGCTCGCCCTTCACCATCATTCTCCTCCGGATCGTGTCCCACGGATACGTCAGATAACTCGAACTCACTGTCACTACCTGAAAATAACTTTTTTTCACCGTTTTTTTCTTTGAAATCGATTTAAAATAGCTTCCTTGGAAGAATTAAAAAAAGTATCATGTTAAAACTTTAGTTTGACTGTAAAAATTTGAAACCACGACTTCAATTTTTTATAAATTTTTTTAAAATTGGATTCTCTCAAAGGGAAACATGTAAGTATAAAAAAAGTAATAGGAGAGCATATACAAAAAGAAGCTAATGTGATGATACAAGCTAGAAATTCTATTCAGACAGAATAAATCAAAATCTTCAAAAAGAATAACTGAAACAACTAACAATTTTTTTAATCAAGACGTTATAAGATTAAAAAAACTAAAAAAATTATAGGATGTGAAAACTTTTTAAAAAAACTGAATCTTTTTCAAAAAAATTAATGCGGGGACGTTTCAAAACTCTGAAAAAAAGTAAAGTAGATATATTAAATTATCGTTTGAATCAAAAAAATTTATTTTTTTATCACTACGGAAAAAAAATTCAGTTTATCACTAACTTGAGCGATGGCGTATGAAGCGACAAACGGAAGCTTTTTATTGTCTTTTCTCAGGGCGTTCTGGACAAAATCGTACATTCCAAAATAAACGGATCGATAGATGAAATACGTCTGAAAAAATACGAAAATATGGAAATTCAGCAGTAATCAACCTGTAGAGAAATCAGAAAACCTCGATACAATCCGCGAAAACCTTCTTGCTTCATCGTTTTTGAGGCGCAGTCAACTAATCCCTGAAATTAACACTTGAGAAGAAGTTTTCAAACTGAGTATACCTTGTACTCCCGGTTGCCTTTATGGCCCATGTCCACAGATAATCGCGTTCTAATGAAATCGAGGGGATAGACGATGCAAAGCGACGTCGATCCGGCCAAACCTCCAGAAACAAGAGACCTAACGCTGTATGACCACATGTTCTCAAATGGGAAAATCGTGCACAGTCACCTTGGAACCTCCTACCCCTTCTCTGGACACGTTTTTCAACAGGATCGATTTATAAAGATCGTTGAAAGCAAAGTTGAAGGCCTAAACAATTCGAAATTTTGAGGGAAAAAACTGGCTCTCCGCAAACCTGGGTAGGAAAGTAACGAATCACATTTGTTAAATTTCCGCGCCAGAACGAAGCGAATCCTTGCTCTTTCGGTACGCGCACAAAAGCGTCGATTATACCTTTGTACCTTTTATCTGCTGGAATGTCCTTATGTGAATATTGAACCTAAGAATTCATTTGAAAAAAACCTCAGAGTAATCAAAAACCTGCAATAGAAGCTTTACTCGTTCCATAGGTGCTACAACAGTCTTCGATATGGACGCCGATATCCCGCCGATGGTCAGGTCAACAACGAACTTTTCTGCCCGACTGCGACGATTTGCCTTGCTGCTTTCCATCTCATGAGATCTTGAATAATTATGCCGTGTTTAAAGTAATTTCCGCGAAATGCAAAATGATCTCTGACTCTCCAAAATTTAGTGATCTTTTCCTTTCTCTAACGGGTATTTTGCATTTCGCGGAAATTACTTTGAACACGGCATTAGTTTTTTTGAAGACACGCTGTTGAAATGAAGAACAAACCTAGCGATTTCGCAAAATCGACGATGAAAAGGATATTGAGCGCTCGGGATTCTGCTCTTGTACAGCTCAAGCCTCGGGATACTGAATTCGCAAGTGTCTATGTGAATGAAAAACGTTCTCAAATAACAAAAAAACTTTATGAAGTCAAATTACGTCATTTTGGAAAAGATTGCACGCTGCAAGTGTGCTCAAATGTTTATTTGAAACACTGTAGCAGAAAACTTGCGCTAAATAAACCAGAGTGATCCCTTCAGGAGCTGAACGATTTGAAAAATGTGTTTCCAATTTTTTAAATTTAAAACATCGAGTACTCGCGAGTCGTAACAATAATTTGTGAAGCGTTCAAAGTAATTTTCCGACCACAGTTCGTTGACAGCTCAAGGATACTCACTCACCTCTCAACTAGTTATCTTTCAAATGTAGCAAATAAGTTTAGCGTCTTATAAATGTATAGAAATATCTAGACGGTCCAAAGTGGTTGGGCATTTTGTTTTTAAAAAAATGTTTTTACCTTGTGATTTTGACTTTGAACTTTTTAATCAATTTATTTTTAAATAGACTTGTTTTCGCTCTCTTTAAGAAAAATAGTTCCTGGTGCGTTGATAATCACCACCTGTTATTTTTTTAATTGTTTCCGAACAGTTTATTAAACGATGACGAAAAAAATATTATAATCAAAAAAAGAACAATGCGAGCATTACAGAGAAAGAGTATCCGGAGTTTCGATAAGAAATTGCGCATTTTAAAATTTAATGTCCGTCATTGGTGATTGAAGATCTAAAAAAATTTATATATAAGATAGGTGTTAAAAAAAGCCTGTGTTTGATCCATTTCCAAATTGATGTAACGAGGCCTTTCGAAGGGGAATAATAAAGACGCTTAGGGGAAGCTGAAAGAAGATTTTTTTTTTGAAAGATACAGTGAGAGAGACTAACCATGGTCTAGGAAGTCATGTGCATTTGAAATTGAAGATGCCGTTGAGACCTCAGATACGACTTGTCTCGGATTGTAAGAAAGCTCTTTTTTGTTGAATGGAATCATGCTTTCGACTCTCGAATTGTCGTCAACATCTTTCTTCTCAAAATACCCTTTTTTTATTTATTTTTTCCAAGACCCACTTTGAGTTCGCGGGCAAACAGCTCGTTCAAGTCTTTAAGTTCGTTCTCTAGGTCTCCGTAGCTGTTGGAATCGAGTTGTCTTTTCCCAGAAAGAACGGTCTGTAGGATGCCGTTCACCTAATTGGGTTTTAATGAGATTTACGAAGGCTGGATTTCCTGATTCGGCATGAGAAGCGGCTGTGGTCGACTGTTCGAATTCATTAGACTTTTGGTTCCGCGCCAGATCTAGTATTCTTCCCAGTTCGTTGAGTTCATACTGGAAGATGTTCTGAGAATTAAAAAAAAAGTGCCCCTACCGATGTCTCAAGCCTAGTAGTATCGGTTTCGCGCGATTCTACAACCGTGGAAACTTCTTTTGGTTGTTTTTTGTTCAAACTAATTACTTGGTCGTTGTTCGGCAGATATGCTTTCCACTCTGGAAAATGTCATGTTTTGGATGAGGAGTCCAACAAACTTTGGCCCATGAACTGAATCCGGAGAGCTGAAAAGAATGGATGACCAATCGGAATCACCTTTTGGGCATGCTGCTTCTCCTCGCTATGCCAGACTCGAGTTCTTTCGTACTCAGCCTACGGAATGGAAATAATTTTCACAGGGATTTTCTGCCACCTCGTATCTGTCTGCAATGTACTTCCTAGGAGTACAGTTTTCTTTGTTGGGACGAATTGGAGTAGAGGAGCGCAGTGGACGCTGAATTGCGCTTTTGCTGAAGCCGATCCGCGAGTGAGAGTCACCAAGTGCAAAGTTTTGACCATGAACTAGGGTTTCCTTTCTTCAAAGTTTGATTTAGTTATTAAATTAGAAGGCTAAGCAAACGGGGCGACTCGTGGCGTCCAATTCAGAATACTATTGACCATATTTTCGATGACGACGTTTCCAACTTCGGCGTCGCATGTACAAATTCCTAGGAATATAGGAACTTTTTTTTTTTTGAAATATCTCGTTCTTTGTACTTTGTCCGTTTTTTAGAATAATTATCAACCTTCGGGATTTTTTGAATGCTCTCCAGACGTCGTGATGGAGTTTAGAACGGAATACGAAATCGAATCCAAAGACGGCGACTGGCACGTCGATCGTCTCATTTCTTGCAATAAGCTTGATTCTCGTGATAATTACACGTGTTTCATTGTTCAGAACACGTCGATCCTTCTAATTGAAAAGAAATTTGGTAAATTTTTTTTCGAATCCGTCATCTTGCGCGAGGTTGCGAAATCGCAACTTTCAAGTTTATGTATGTTGGCTCTCAATTTTTCAAGTTTTCTTTTTCAAATTATAATTTCATCAATTTTTTGAGGCATATATGAAGCGTTGTGAATCCATATCTTTCCTTTCTAAGCTTCTTAGAAAATCTAATTGGCTCCGCCCCTATTTCTGCGCGCCATTTCTCCACACGTTCCTCCAATTTCCCAAATTAGCTCCCTTTTTTTCATTAATTCACCGTTCTTATCCATATATTTTGCTTAATAGTTGTTGCGAAATTCGCATTGAACTTCAGAGAAGCAGTGGTTTTGCGGAAAAGACGATGATAAACATTTTTTCGATTTTTAATCATAGCTTTTCAATTTTCTTTTTTTTTTGATCAGTTCGAAGGAAATGTTTATTTCTCTTTTTGTTTTGAATTTTTCTTAACGGGTTTCTCGTAGTTTCTGGATCTTTCCACGTTTTCAGAGCTGTGATTGTCCTTTTTCATAATAAGAGTTTTATTTTAGGGCAACTTCGACAACTCCTGGGTCACAATGGTTCTCGAAATGGATATGTTCCGCGAAGAGAAGGGTGAATTTTGCTTAAATGAGATGATAACTCTAATTTTTTTTTTTACAAATTTTGAATTAAATTTTTGAAAGAAATAATAATAAAATAAAATATTCTTTATCATCAATCAAGTTCCAATTTTGTTCAAGGTGGAAACCCGGAAATCGTTCGCGATTCTCAACGTAAACGTTTCAAAGACGTCGGATTGGTAGATAAGGTTATTGACCTCGATCAGCAGTGGAGAAAAGGTTAGAAAATATAATTTTTCAAATTTATTCTTATGAATTTATTTTTAGAACGATTTCTTGCTGATCAGCTCAACCGACAGAAGAACTTGTTCAGCAAAGCCATCGGGGAGAAAATGAAGGTAAAAATATATTTATGAAGATTTGAAATTTAGAAAAAAATTAGAAAAAAGAAGCTCAAGGAGATGATGACAACGTGGAAGATGATATTGTTAGCCGCCTTGCCGATTTGAATCTCGATCAATTAAAGGTTTGGAAAATATTAAAAGTTACCTCAATTCATTCTATTTTAAGGATCTCTCTGTTGTGCAAATCAAGAAACTCCGCGTCCTCGTCGATGAAAAAATGATTGAAACGAAGGTTTTTCATAAATTTCTCGAAAAATAAGTTCATACAAAAACAACAGGCTGCCATGGAATCCAAAGAAGCCGCCAGACAGGAAGCCCTGGTCCAAATCGGAAATCTGATCCACGATTCGGTCCCAGTTTCCGATGACGAGGCCAACAATCGCATCGAGAGAACTTTCGGAGATATCAAGTCGACGAAAAAGTATTCCCATGTTAGTTTTTTGTGAATTTGGCCCATAAATTCCGCTGTTTCAGGTTGATTTGGTCGTGATGGTTGACGGATTCGACGGCGAACGGGGCACTGTTGTCGCGGGAGCTCGTGGCTACTTCCTTAAGGGACCACTTGTCTATTTGGAACAGGCCATTATTCAGTTGGCCTTGCAAAGGTTTTTTTTGTTTCTGGAATCTAACTCGCCCAGGAAAAATATTCATACTCTGAGTATCTCTTAGAAAGACACGATTAAAAGGTGAAAAATTCACTTTTTCTACTTTAGTGCAAACATTTTTTATTACTCAAACTTCATTATTCACTTCGAAGTTTTTTTTAAGTACGAATCCGAAAAAAGGCATCTATCGTGAAGTTCAGGGAAAAAATATCGCGATTTTCTTTTTGAATCATTGTTTCTTAACTTTTTTGAGGATTCAAGCGAAGTTGAACACATTTTTGTGGGCTTACATTCGTCTCATAAATTTATTTTTGAAAAAAAGAAACAGATACGTTTCAAAAAGACGATATAATAATATGGAATTGATTTCTCGCGATTTTTCTGGTGATTTGGCATACGAAAAAAATTTTTATTACTTTCTCTTAATACTTATCTATAACTTTAAAAATAATCCCAATAAGTTCAAAATGGTATGAATACTTTTCAATTAGCATTTGAATATGATTGAAAATTTTCCGATGCTTCCAGTATTTCTACCATTGTCTTTATCTCTTCTAGTCGAATAAAGTTTGTTGACATTATTTTTTCAAGGCTCGGCGCCAAGAACTATGTCCCGCTGTACACGCCATTCTTCATGAGGAAGGAAGTCATGCAAGAAGTTGCTCAATTGAACCAATTCGACGAGGAATTGTACAAGGTACATTTTTAAAAATTAATTTCCCAAAGGACTCTCATCGTTTGATTTTTCAAAATCTTTGAATGAAAAGGTAATGCCTCAAGGGCTTATCTATAACAGTTTTTGATTTTCTATAATGTTCGCAAGGAATATTACAAAAAAAGGTCATTTTACTTTACAAAAAGGTCATTCTAATTTTGCACCCATATTCTGTGGCAGTGGAAGGAGGAAAACCGAGAAAGTATCATAAGAAAAATAGGAAATTTTAGTAAATTTTTATAGGTGAGCGGAAAGGGCTCTGAATTGGCCGACGACCAGACGATCGACGAGAAATACCTGATCGCCACTTCTGAGCAACCCATCGCCGCCTATCATAGGAACGAATGGATCAAGGTTTTAAAATTTCTGGAAATCCTTTAACTTTGTTTATTTCAGGAATCTGATCTTCCGATCCGTTATGCCGGAGTTTCAACGTGTTTCCGGCAAGAGGTCGGAAGCCACGGACGTGACACCAGAGGAATTTTCCGGTTTTTGAAAAGACAATCAAAAATGAAAAATTAAATTTCACAGAGTTCATCAATTTGAAAAAATTGAACAATTCGTCCTCTGCTCGCCGAATGACAACGATTCGTGGGTGATCTTTGACGAGGTTTTCATATTTTTTGAACTTATTGAAAAAGAGAAATTAAGATGATTGGAAACGCTGAGGAATATTACAAGGAACTTGGAATTCCCTACCAGGTCGTGGCAATTGTTTCGGGAGAACTCAACAATGCTGCCGCCAAGAAGTTTGTTTCATTTTTAATTATAATTCGAGAATAAGTAGGGATTTATTAATATTTTTTTTTTCCGTCGTGGGAAATTTTTCCAAGAATGAGACAGGAAAAAAATAAGATTTTTTTCAAATTTTTATCTTTTTTTAACGTTTTTTTCATTCGGAATGACAATACTCCATTAAAGAAAAAACATTCTCAAAGCGTCTATAGATGATTTTTGAGCAAATTTGTGAATTTTAACAAGTATTTGTTGATTTTGAACATAATTCTAATATCATAAAAAAAGAAAAAAAGCTCTGTTTAAAAGTTGGAGCAATCAATGGGAAAGTATCTTTGAAATTAACGAAAGTTTTTCAAATTAAATATCAATTATTTTTGAAGTAAAAAGATCTAAATATTCATTGCGAAGAATTTTCCGTTTTCAAACTCCAAAAGTTGAACTTCACTCTCTTCAATACCTGTTCTTTTTAGAGTTCAGAATAATAGTTTTTTTCCTGAGAACGTTTCATCTCATTTCTAAATTTCTGAACAAACTTGTTCCAGAAAGTGTGTAATGCCCTTGTTCCTCACATCATGTTCGTTTTATGTGATTAGGTTTTGTGAATAGTTCCGTAGACAAGTAAACGGAACGCCGAAACGAACAATTAGCCAGAGGTTAATGTTTCGAATTTCTGAGAAAAATCATCAGGAAAGCGATTTTTTGTGAGCGGAAAATATACGCCATGTTAGTTGAAAAAAAATTTTTCTTCGAATTTTTTTTTCTCTCAAAAAATTAATACTAAGCCTTTCTCGCACGTATTCTTTAATAAACGGCTAACCTCAATATCTAGAGGTAGGTTCAACTTCTACTTTCAATATTTTTTGGAACGCTCCTCAAATCTTCATCAAATATCAAGCTTTTTAAACATTCATCGATCCCATCAAAATTTTTCTCGAGAAAAAAAAAACCCTAAAGTTTTTAAAAAGTAAATTGGATCAGCAACTGTGAGAAAAAAATTTTCAAAATGTATATTTCAACTGTTATTTCTTTACAAAATTTCACTCATTCGAGGCCTTATGGCTCTTGAAAGCCTGACTATCAAATGCTTGAAAATAACTGTGAGTTTAGACTGGACCTCGAGGCGTGGTTCCCAGGCTCGCAGGCCTACCGAGAGCTCGTCTCGTGCTCCAACTGCCTCGACTACCAGGCGCGTCGCCTCCGCGTCCGCTACGGCCAAACGAAGAAGATGGACGGCGAGGTGAAGCCTCCCTGTGCAAACAGCCGCCATGATACGTATATCCCCGTTGCAGGTCCAGTACGTACACATGCTCAACGCGACCATGTGCGCGACGACTCGTGTCATCTGCGCCATTCTCGAGAATTATCAGACTGTGACGGGAATCGAAGTCCCTGAGGTGTGTAGGAAAAGTGCACTTCCTGATTGAATTAGATCTTCTTATCAATCAGTCAATCAAAAAGCTCCATTCTGCAATCAAAATTTTTGACCCGGAGGACCAAGCAAAAGCTTTCATTATAATATCGATAGAAATAATTTCCATCTGAGGAAAATACAAAATAATATTAGCCTATTTCCATTTTACACTCCACTAAACATGAATCTAGACGACGTTTTTCTGAAATTGATGAAACAGTAGCATCATGCGCAGTTGGCGGACCCTAAAAAATTTCAGTTTGAGCTTTTTCCATATAGCAATAATATATGCTTTCTCATTCGAAGTTCTATAGACAATCATTTAATTTTAAAAGAAAATTTCAGAACAACTCGTTTTTCTGGAACCGTTCATTTTCCTGTGCTTTTTTGAAAATTTTCGCCATTTCAGTTTTTTAAAAAGATTCTGATTTTTCAGCTTGAGCTTAATGAGCCAAACCTGAAGTTCAAGTTATACTAGGTCCAAAAAGGCGTTAACATATTCCAAGAGTGAAAGAGCGAAAATATTTGTATCTCGAAACCATGAAAACATCTCTTCCGCTTTTAAAAATATCATCAAGTGTTTTGGAAAGTCTAAAGAATTTTGAAGTTTGGCTCTTACGCGTTAACTAGGATCAGCGGAAAGTTCAAGAACAGACGAGATCTAGACGTCCTGGGGGGATTTTGATTCAAAAAAAAGAATGGAAATGGAAGAGCACTAGCTCATAGTTTTTTTTTTCAAGGTTCTGCAACAATGGATGCCTGAGCGGTACCGCACACACATTCCATTCGTGAAGCCGGCGCCGATCGACGAGGAAAAGAAAAAATCGTCGAAATAAATGGCCCTATTGAGAGGTTTATTTGCGTTCCCAAACTTTTGTGCTCCATTTGTTGGCTGTTGTCGTTTTTTAAACTATTTCTTTTTCTCATAGAATATATCAAATTTTCAAAATTGTTTTTTTTTCTGCATAAGCGTGCGGATGCTTTATTCGGTTTCGGTTGCATGTTATTCGCTTTTGGGAAAAAAGCACCTATTTAATAAATGTTATTAATTTAAAATCTGCACGTTGGAGCAAAGAAAGTTAGAATATTTCTTTCAAAAAGCGATGGGACTTTCATGAAGATTACTGTAAAATTGGCTGTTTTTATTCATTCAGATTCCAGGCTCAAGGTCATTAAAATGAAGTACGCAATAAAAACTGCTGAAACTTTGATATTTGTAGTAACTTTTTAGACTTGATTTAAATAAAAAAAGTGTTTTTCCCGGGATGTTGGTGCTAGAAAGGTTGATTTAGCGATGGCTTGAGCTGAAATTTGAGTTATGAAGGATTTTTTTAGAAAAAAAGCTCAACCTATCAACTTAGGGAAGTTTATGGTACCGATGGAATTTTTGGCTGAAAAAAAGATGTATTCATGGCGAAAATTCCTGTTTTTTTTTTCAACAAAGTTTCAAAGTTTCTTTTCAGGGGTTCAGATGCGCCAGAAATCACAAAGGAAGTGGAAAAATAAATTTAGGAAAATTCTCAAAAACACAAAAAAATGTTTACTATTTCTATAAGCAAAAAAAGGCGTTTTTTCGATCTAAATAAGAGTGATTTAAACTACTAAAAGTTACTTAAAAATTACTCAAAAGTTACCAAAAGGTACTTCCAAGCTCAAGGAACATTCAAAAATTTTATTCATTCCTTCTTGCAATTTTCCGATTTCAGAATAATCAAAGGTCAATAATTCGTAAGTTCGAAACGAAACGATTATTTACTTGACATAGGTTTATGCCTTTAATAGCACATTAAGGGATTTTGAAGATACTGTAACAAATTAATGAAAGACTGCAGGAACACTGAGAAAACTCCCATAAAACGTGTGTTTTGTTGCGTCGGGAAGAGAGCATTCTTTACGAAATACAAAACGGTCGGAACGGCGGCCGAGAAAGAGAAGGGCGCAGACAGTCGGCTGGTCGGACCCGTTCAATGTATTCGCCGACTGCGGTATCGACCTGTACCCCTCTATCATCCCCGTCTCTTCCTTCTCTTCCCTCTCCTTGCTTTCTTCCCTGTTTACAGCTGATATCTATTCAAATGTTTCTCATTATTCTTCCGCTTTTTCTCATTTACTTCCTCTGTCAATTCAGGGAATTTAGGCCTAGAAAATTGATGATTCTTGAATTTCTCATTCTTTTTCAGATAAATTTCGAATGACAGAAAATTTCGGGCTCTCATCAATAATTAGCCCTTACATCAAGCCTTATATTAGCTCTTCTTCTATAGAAGTTCGAGGAAATTTTCAAGCTTTCGCTTTAAATTTTGACTTTTTGCATATAAATTTTATCTTTTGAATTCAAATTGTTTGTTTTTTTCAAATTCCACCTTGTATTCTCTTTCTGCAAATTCTGCAATTTTCCAAGTTTTTTTGTCCTAGTTGATAAAAATCCTATTTTTAAGAAATAAAAAAAAACAGTTCAAAGAATTTATCAAATTGACTCAAAGAAAAAAACAATGATAAGAGGGGAGGCCGCCTTTTTTTTCAGCACTGCTTCGCGCCAATTTTTTCTTTTTTTTTTTACCTTTTTTGAATTTTTTCTAATGTATGCAGCTTCTCACCATAAGTAACGCTACCTTTTCAGCTGAAAAATGTATTTTTTGACAGTTTCAGGTGAGAAGTTCAAATGTGCAATAGTCCGAAAGTTCAGCGGTAATTTTTCTGTTTGACTACGCCGAAAAGCTACTTATTTAAGCTTTTCTAACTTTTTTTCATAATTTTTTTCTTTCGGCTGTTTTGTACTTTGTCTTTTCATACCCCAAAAAATCTCCCGTTCTTATCAGTTTTTTTTTTTCAAAATCTCTTTTTCTTAGCGGTTTTAAGGCAGACCGGAACGTTTTTTTCCAGTTCCCCGATAAATTTTTGAATTGAAAAAAAGTTTTTTTGTTCTATCAATTCTTTCTCTTGATAACTTCCTTCTTAGCGGTTTTTATGAGAACCGGAACGATTTTTTTTTCTCTTGAGCTCCCAAGCTTAATCGTGAGAATCTTTGGTTATAGAAGAAAAAACTTTTCTCTCTTATCAGCTTTTTCCCTGAGAAAATCCTTGCTCAGTGTTTTCAAGATAGACTGAACCGCGTTTTTTTTCTTTAGTTTTCCGATCTTTCTCTTTTATTCCAGAAAAAAATCTCTTGTTATTAAAAAAACAAATTAAAAAAATGTTCTCCGGTTGTCTATACTCTATTCAAAATAGCTTGAGGCGCAAATTACTGTAGAAACGTCTAAATCTCTTCTTTCCGCATGATCTATGGTTATCGTGTTGAAATCATCATTGAACTTTGTCTGAAAGGATTTTAGACTCATCTTGAAAAAAACCTTTTTTTCAGATTTTTTTTGAAAATTCTTTTTTCGAGTTTTTTTCAAGAGACAGAGATACTCTACTGGCCACTAAAGAGGTTCTTCAAGGATTACTTAAAAAGGACACTGAAGTGGTCACACAAACCACCTCTATAGAAGCCACTACTTGACTTCTAAACAGGTCACTAATTTTTAGCCACTTAGTGTCCACTAATTATAACACTTTAGTGGCCACTAAAACTTCAAATCCCTAAAGTGACCCCTAGAAGTTTCCCCAGGATTTTTCAGTTTTCTCTCCCTCTCAAGCTAACTTATGAAGAACCTTGGTAAAAGAAGACTTGCGCGGCGAAGAATCACATCGTTTGGTGACCTAGAAACGGGGGTGGAATTGGTTCGAAAACGGAGGAGACGTTCCTTCGTCCCTTCGGTCGAAAAATTGACTCGATTTTCGTTTCCACTTTTCGACGTCTTCTGTTGCCTCGCGATTGCGGTTTTCTTTCTTTTTTTCGCGAAGATTCTCAATTGCCTCAATTTTTTGTCAGACGCGCGCCGCTCTCTTCTTCCCTCTAGTAGCGTTTGTTTTCTGTTCGGACTTTTGATTTTCTTGTTTCTGAGATTTCGAAATTATTCATTTCAGCTTTTTTTGACGTATTAAAAAGTGAGAAGCGTCGGGTCTATCCAGTTATTCATCTTGGATCAAAACAGACTTTGATATTTTGGAAAAAAAAATTGTTTTGCTTGTAACTTCAAAAAATATTTACCGAACCAAAAATTCTCCGTTCGCTTAATTCTTTAAATTTTTCTAGCTTGTCTATACCCTCTTTTTTCTCATCGACGCATTGAGGATGAAGAAGAAGAGAGCGCAGATAAGTCAGACTTTTCCAAGTTTGAAAGGACGTCTGGTATATCGGTGTTGCTGAATCTGATACTCATCCAGAGAGATTTTTCAAATTTCCTATCGCGGATGGGCATTTTGTCCCGATTTTTTTTTCGAACGAACTATATTTCCCTTTTTTTTATCAGTGAACTGGCTGGGGTACTTCTGAAGCCTCCAATGGAAGAAGACGTCCGGGCAGCTCCTCGCGGCTCGGCGGAGCTCGAGGCTGAGGTCGTGCGCCTGGAGAGGCAACTGCAGTCGGAACGAGATGAGCGACGAAAGTTGATCCGTTCCGCTCAGGTTCGTCTTCAATTCATTCAATCTTCGGAATCTGTTGAGAGAACTGAAGAGGTTTTTGCAGGAAGAGATGGAACTGGAGGTCGGGGAAAGCGAGCAGAAGTGGATTGCGCGGGTGAGGAAGGCCCATGAAGAAAAGGAGGAGATGGGACGGCGAGTAGAGGAGCTGGAGGAGCAGGTCGACACCCTCAGTAGACAGCTCAACAGGTTTCGAAACAAATTTCGTTAAGACTGGAAAATATTACTAGAATGAGTACTAGTACAATCCATTTTGAAACGATCTTTTTGATTTTCTTTTTTCTTTTTTCAAAAATTCATTTAGAAGCGATGCCTATAAAATGGAAGTCGAAGAAGCCCATGATCGACTGAGGATGCAACTCGATTCCTTGCAGCACGACTATGAAGAAACTATGCAAGAACGGAGTATTGTCCTAGAAGAGGTGAGAAAAAGGAGCGTTTTTGTATCGAAAAATAGTATTTCTTTGACAAAATCTAAATGATGCGCTCGGCATTAAAAATGGAGTTCAAACTTTGGTACTCACTCTAAAACGGCGCCCGACTTTGAGCGACTTTTCGATTATTTTCTCATTCTGTAGGACGCTACAAAGCACAAGTAGTGTCGGATGCGCTGAAATATCATTGCCGTATTAAAAGTGATTTCTAGGAAATGTCTTAATATCTCTGACTCTCCAAAATTCAGTTATCTTTTTCATTCTCTAACAGCTACTTCGAATTTCACGGAAATGCTTTGAACGCGGCATAAATTCAAGAGACCGCTCCGCGACCGCGACGCTTTAAGTCATGACCAAGGCGTTTCAACTCGTGATTATATCTTGGGTTATAACTAGCCAACGCTCTAAATTATCAGCAAAACAAAAAAACTTATGAACTTATTTCAGAACACGAGATTGAACGAAGAAAAGGAGAAAATGCAGCGTGAAGTTGAACGAGTTTCCTCCCAATTTCAACAGATTGTGCAGCATAACGTTAGTCAATTTTTCATACGAAAATCGTTCTTTTTCTTTTATCAATCTTATAACTGAAATTCCAGGAGCTCGAAACTGAAATTGAAAGACTTGCAAAGAAGTTGGAACACACTCGACGTCTGCTACAAGGTACCTTTTTTCTAACTTTGCCGTACTTTGCTTTTTCGCGAAAATTCGTTCACGTGGTTTATTTAACAGACGCAATTAGTTATTTTGAGGCGACTGTAAAGGTGCGCTCCTTTTTTAATTCGATAAGAAATTTTCTGACGGTCACGAATGATTCAAATCATGTGCAACCAGTAAATATTGGTTTTGTTGGAAATTTTGAAAATTGACTTGTTTTTGAAACCAAATGATCACGATCTTCTGAAGGTTGAAATAAAAAAATTGGGAAAATCTGCTGAATTTTATTTTTTTAAAAGGATTTGATGGAAGTATATCAACTTTTTATGAGTTTTTATGTAGTAGAGTCAATTTTGTGACAAATTTAAATAATCTGGGCTTCTCCCGCTTTTTTCTCCTTGAAACAAGGTCATAGAAAACCTGAAAAAAGCGAGAAAAAATCAAAAAGTTGCCAAGATAGGGCGCAGAGAAGTCTGAACTAACCGTGTCGTGGTAAAAGGAAAGCCTTTTCTCCTCTCAAATAAAAATTTGAAAGTTCAATAAACTTTTTTTTGATCGCAGTGAGTTCAGCTTTTCTTTCTGGACACGTGAGTTTTTCTTTAGAAAAGTATCGGATATTTTCAAAACAGGTAATTTATTTGATTTTCCAGTGAACATGGAAGAAACGGTGAGCGCAAATGCCAGAAGAGACGAAGCGATAGAAAACGCTTTGAAACTTCAAGAAGAGTGCTCCAGGTTGACGGAAGAACGTGACGACGCCTTCAGAAAGTTCGACTTCTTTCATTTTTCTTGCATTGAAGTCCTTGAATCTATACTTACGAAACAAATCTGGCCTTTCTTTTCTCTCCTTTCTCTCTTCTAGACCGTCTGAAAAAAATAGCATATTGATACGAAAGGGGCAGAGAGCACAGACAAGTCAGAGCGTTTTGAGCTCAAAAATGAATTTCTGTCACCTGAGTATATTAACTTACAGGTGCCGTCAAGCACATAGAGAGTCTATCGTCGATGTTTGGAACACACATTCTGTTCAGCTGTCCCTTGTGAGTTCCATTGTTTTTTAAAGTCTATGAAACGTTTATTCAGCCCTATCCCAAGCCGAATCTTGGGGTAATCCTTGCTGGTGGCCGGACTGAAAACGGACTAACTTTACACGGTCCAATTTATGTGAAACAGGTCCTTCCAGGGTCTCCTTTTGAGAACATGCTGAGGTTAGTCCAGTTCAACTTCATTACATAATAATTAATCAGTTTATTAGTTTAACAAAATTCATAGAAATCTCTAAACGAAATTGATAATAAATGAAATAACAACAAAAATAGGAAAAAAAATGAAATATCTGAACGATCTGATCGAGAAAAGTTAAAAGAACATCGATTAATTCATTTCCGAGTATTTAGATGTGTTGCTGAACGAAAATTGAGGATTATTAAAAGATAAAGAGTGACTTATAGTTAGAGATAGCTGTAGAAATTAAAAAAATTTTTGAGTTTAAAAAAAGAATTTTTCGCAACAACCAATACATTATTTCCAAGTATATTCACCCACCACGACTTGAAACAGTTGCCTTCATCTGCTTCCTTTTTTACTCTCTTGTTTTCACGCTTTTTCATCTCTCTTTGACCTCACCGGTGAGGGAAAAGAGAGCGCAGACACGTTAGACCGCTTGATCTCGCGGTGAATGAAGTGTAGCCTTCACAAATCGACCAAAAACAGATATCAAGAAATCTTTGATTATTTAAAATCTTTCAATCTAGAGAAATAAAACAAAGTTTTTCTCATAATTTTTTTTTTTGAATATTCCAGAAAAATGGACCATTTGATGATGGTGAACGATATTTCGGTGACGGAAATGGACGAGAAATCCGTGATGGGAATGTTGGCCAATTGTCATCATCTGCATCTGGTCATCCGGAGACGTTCCAACTGCAACCGTGTCCACGACATCGAGCTCCCTCTCAATTATGGTGATTCTGCGGCTTTCTATACCTAATTCTGATGGTTTTGAACGTCTCGAACTGTCTGCGCTCTCTTCTCCTCCTAGTTCTCTCTTGAATCCGCCAAAGAGGGAGAAAAGAGCCCAGAATCTCAAGCCGTAGCGAAATCCCTTCTTAATGTTCTTAGGAACGTCAGAGTGGTCCCTAGAGGGCCTTTTTAGTTGCCCCTCTTGGGACCTCTCTGGCGTTTCTAAACAACTTTCTTATTGTTCTACATTTTCCTACATCTTAAAATAAGATGTAGTAAAGATGTGCGAATAATTTTATGCTCGTGCATCGATTGGCTTTAGTACTAGATCCGTGCAAAGTTTGCCACCTGAACTTATTTGCAAAATTTGAAGACGTGGGTCTGGAACTCGCCAACGGAGTGTTCATCAACGCCGTCGAAGCCAATGGAGCTGCAAAAAGAGCTGGTCTGGCGCCAGGCCAAAGAGTCGTTCACGTCATGCAGACACCTGTCTACGACGCCAAACACGCCGAACAGCTCATCAAAAGTTGGACATTTGAATTATTGGAAAAATATCAGTAAACAATCTTCCGTTAATTTTAATCTTTCTTGTCAAAAAGCTTATTTTCAGGAGGCTGGAAAATTTTTTATTAGTCCTATAAGAAGGGAATTTTTCTTGTCTGAAGTTCTTATAAAGCAATTTTCATTAATTGGAAATCTGACCTGTCTGCGCCCTCTTTTCTCTCTTTGGCGTTTCATAGATATCGGAAAATTGCAGGTAAAATTGAGAGTTTTGTGAGAAAAAAGAAGGCGCAGAAAAATCAGAAAAATGTAAAATAGGTGAAGTTCTTTTTTTTCGAAAATTTAAAATTTGAGTGCTCAGATATTAGATGGTTTGAGCTTCAGAATCGTTTTTAGCGCTTTATATCAAAGAAAATGGGCTAAAATCTGAAAAATGAAGGTTTTTTCTATTCAAATGTCTTTTTTTTGAAGACGCCCGAGAGCCGCTGGTTATTGGAGTTCTGCAGTCGACAAAACGCACGGAGAATTTGAACAAGGACAAGCAAAAGGCCACTATTTTCTCCAAGGTTTCGAATCAGTTCTCTAGGACCTTACATAGATATTCTCCAGCTTTTCGGCCGTCAGCCAGATAAGGAAAGAAACGTCGTCGCCAAGGCCAACATTGAGCGGAACGGGGACTCTTCTTTCTTGAGACAGGTGTGAATTGGAATTTTTTTTGAAAAGACATCAAGTTTTCAGGGTTCTTTGAGGATCCCCCATTCGCAAACGTCTCCCCTTGTACGATATGGTTCTTTGCGGTTAGTTTTGGGCCAATTTATGATTCTTGAAAAAACAGGTGTAGAAAGAAGCCTGATTTTTGAGAGATTTTTTTTGCGAGAATTCTTAGTTCTACTCTTTTTTTTCCAAAATTATGTCGTTGATCTAGCCTCTACGACTTTTTTTTTCTGGAAACTCGGGCAAAGTCGGAATGGTGGATAATGGCAAGGGAGAGGCTCAAAGGCTCGAGAAATGGTGGAGAATAGGGAGAGGCAGCAAAAAGGGTGCATATGGGCTGAGAGAATGGCGCAAAAAGGCAGAAAAAAGGGAGCTTTCATCACCCTAAAAGGAAAATTTCTATGGACCTTTACGGACCCTCGGAGGTTCCTTCCGACTTTGCCTATGAACGATCATTCAGTACGGAAAAAGTCTGCAAAATGGCTGAAAACGGGTTTTCAGTAGATCTGAAACATATTCATCTTGTTTTCAGTGCTCCACAAGCCGAACACGCAAAGATTGTTGAAAGTCTTGAGAATCCTGCCAAGAGGGCACTCAAGTGAGTTCAATCTTCTCACTTTTTCACTTTCCCAAGTTTTTCAGCCGAACATCAGCCCACTCTGAAACCAGCAGCGTCTGGCCACCCCCTCTCGAAGAGGAAGATCAACTGGTTCCATTGCCCTATTCAAAACCAGCCTATCCCATCTATAGTGGTCCGTCCTCCCCACCAAGGTTCGAAATTGGTATTTGATTCAATTCGAAAAGTGAGATTCAGCCGGATAATACGACAAAGCTCGGAGCAACGAGCGGTGACTTCTCCGAGACAAGGATCGCCTTGGTCGCGGACCTTCTCTCCGAATGGGGAGCCCAGGCCGTACTCCTACCAGTTCGGTTCTCTCGACGGCCGTCCCATGTCGTCGTCTCCGCTTCCTACTGGCTATCATCCGAGGATCACTGGTTATAGGTCAGTTCTAGGCTTTTTCAACACATAATTAGTAATTTATTCCATTCAACAGTCAATGAAAAATCGATAGGTGAAATATAACACAAGAACGGGAAAAATCCATTTTTAAGTTTAAAATGAAGTAATTGAAACTGCTCAGACAGTGAAGGATCTATGGAGGAGCGAAAATGACAAGAAAAGGCAATTTTTGAAGCCACATCAAACAACACAGATTTCATGGCGAGAAACTTGAATTGGGCAGAAAAAGGCCGAAATAAACGTTTTTTTCATAAAAAAAATTTTTTTGCCCATTTTTGACAGTTTCTTTTTTTCGGTATCATATGTAGATAATCAGGTTTTTCTTTTCTATTTTTCAAGGTATCTTAGGATTCCTGCCTAAAACATTTTCGCGCTTTTCTCCTCACAAGGGTTGTAATTTATTTTTGTATTGGTAGCTCCCTTAAATTTGATCAGAACACTCCCTAACGTACCAGAAGAAGATTCTGGAAGTCTGATTTAGTAGAAATTCCAATTTTACGAAAGTGAGGGCTCCAAGTCCCAAATTAGCCTTTTTTAACGGTTTTGAAAATTTTATACGACTTTGAAGTAGTTTTCTTTCAAAAACTAGAAAGTTGTGCAGGTTGAGACCATCAGGATCTTTTACCGGTACATCAAGAAGTAATCTGATTAATTTTCAAAAAACTCCCAACCGCAAAGTGAAATCACCTTCCTTGTCAGATATCTCATTTAGTTTACTGACCTATTTTTCAACCCACCAAAAAAAAAAATAAACAGATGTATGAGTGTTTTCCAGCCCCTCGCCGCAGCCGCCGCCGTACTCCTCGGCCAAAGGTATCCGCAACAATAACTATCAGGCGCACGTCGACGACGCATGCCAAGTCCTCGAGGGCTCACTTTCCTCGTTTCTCTCCTCCTCCAACTCTCTCCGTCATCCGTCCACCAGCTTCTCCCACTACTACACTAACAACTGTTCGTTTTTGAGTTTCCTTTCGGAGTAATATCTTGAGCATGAACTTTCTATCGGAGATTTTCAAACCTACTGCAAAGACAATGATGGATTTTCCAAAAAGGACGACATAGGTTTCAGTAAAACCTTAATTACAGTGAATTTTTTTTCGAGGTGATATGGAAGCAATCACTCGCTCTTTTTTTGCTGTGCTAAATTCATTCTCCTTATCTTTTATGGATCAAAAAATTTTTTTTTCTAGGCGTTTCATAGTTCTTTGAAACTAAAATAAGCATGTATTTTTGTTTATCCCTCTTTTAAAAGAACTCGGACATTGGTAACGCGAAACGGACGCGCTCCGGACGTTTCTAAGCATTTCTAGGGATCACTTGAGATTGCTGAGGCTACTAAAGTGGTCACTAGAAATGTCCCGACACGTCCGATTCATGTCCCGTTCGCGTAATCAAGGTCCGAGGAAGTTCAAAGCTCAAAATTTTTTGTAATCTGAATGCTTTAGACCAGAAAAAGGTTCATAGTCAGTTTTCCCTTCAAACAACATTTTTTGTTTGGTCGGTCCTATTTTTGAGTTTCCCGAGATCTAGAGGAGCAGCTTCGTAGAGAAAACTTTCAGCTTTCATAGTCTTTCATCAAAACGAAGAATTTTCAGCTATATGCAGCGCTTCGGCAGAAAACCCTCGAAGGATCTGTCTGAGCAAAGAAGGCAGCGAGTTTTCGTTAGCACTGGAAAACTCGAATGCAGGTTGGAGGGGAACTCAAGATTCCCAATCATCTAAAAAGAGTTTCCAGGTGGTGTTGTGATCCAGTCGGTGCAGGGCAAGATCAACGGACCGGTCAAACGGGGAGATCGTCTTCTGGACGTGGGAGGCATAAATATGCGATGTGCTGACAAAGATTCGGCCTCCAAGGTGTTCAACCACTTCCGCGCCAGTCAAGATGAAGTTTATCCATTATTTTTGCAGAGAGTATGACATAAATTCAGGTGACGCTTCTGGTGAGCGGCGCGGCGACGCCAAGATGGATGCAAGTGCCTCGGAGTGCCGTGCGGCTGTGCGGAGGGAACGCCATCGGAATCCTTTCGGAGTCGTCCGTCGGAGAACTTCTCGAGGGAGACCTCATCCTCGAGATCGATGACTACAACGTCCGACGAGCGACTTTGGAAGATGCAAATGAGGCTCTTCATGAGAGCACTTCTGAATCCGTACATCTTCTGATCCAAGATGGTCAGTCTGTCTTCTGGGAAAAAAGCCGATAGAGCTTTTCAAACCTTTTTTGTGAGAGTTGAATGGACATAACGTTTTCCAGGCTCAAAAAGCATGCAGAAAAATATTTCCTGAGTTTATAATAATTGAAAATATTATTTTTGATAATTAAATTTTGCCAAACATTTCAAAATCTGTTCTGGATAGTCAGAGCATTTTAAGCTCGCGATTGTTTGGAGTTGAATTCGTTTTTATGATCGTCCTTTAGTGTAGTCAAAAGAAATTGAGCCTTGCAAACGAGTTTTAAGTCTTAATAAAGATGTCCTGCCCTAATGAAAAGAAAAAAAACTTCTAAGGAACTGTTCTTCTTTGCCTGATTTCCATATGTTTTCAGGAGGTGACCGTTTGAACCGGTTAAGATTAGGAGCTGACGGCGACTCTTTTTTCGTTCGGGTAAATGTTGATCGAGGCATCGAGAACAAAGACGAGTTGGAATTGAAAGCGGTGGGATAAACCATCAAAGCTTCATAACGTTCAGAAAATTCAGGGAGAGGTGGTTTTTGTCGACAAAACGCTCTTCATGGGTCAGAGAGGCAGGTGGCGAGCCTGGAAAGTGAGAATACCCATTTTTTTAAAAAATTAATTATCATATTTTAGGTGGATCGAGAGGGTCGGCAAAGGGAAAATGGCGTGATACCCAGCGCGGACAGCTTGCAAAACGCTCTCCGGACCAATAAAAGGGTAAGTGATCTGAGGAGTTTTGAAGGGGTCCCTAGAAGGTTTTTTGTTTTTAAATAATTTTAGGGGTATCTTTAGAGTCCCTATAAGGGTATTTTCTTGTCTTTGACGTGTGCTTACTGGAAAACTAGGAACTTTCGCAGCTTGAGACTTCCAGAAAACTTTTTCTGGTTTTTCAAGAACTTTTCAGGTCAACTTCCAGTAAAATCCCAATCACAAAATAAAATGGCCTTCCTTGTTAAACGGAACAAAAAAATTTGGTCGTCTAGTTGTCTTTATTTAATCAATACCAAAATTAGTCCCACGAGCTGGATTTTCGGTAATTTTTGGTAATTTTTCAAAAGAAAGTCGTATGAAAATTACGTATCGCACGGTTTGCAAGAAATTACTATTGTTCACAAATATATAAAAACGTGTGTGTGAGAAATAAAAAAGTTTTGATTGATTGGTTGATTATTCAGAACCGAAACTCTTTCCCATTCACGCGAAACGTATATGAGCGTGTCGAAAAAGTGAATTCGTCGCTTCGAAGGCCGGTCATTCTGTACGGAGCCTTGACGGCGCCGTTCATGCAGGCCTTGCTCGATGATTCTACAAAGTATGTTTTTTTTAGATTGTTTCATTGAGCTTTCAAATATTGTAGAAGATTACTAGGAGATGGTTCTAGCAGACTTAGACTATTTAGATTATGATCAATAATTGTTAATTTTTACGTTGACTTCGAATCTGCTCTCAAAAATTGGGCTGGAGTGGAAAAGTTGAAAAAGTTATGATTTTTTGAAGTAGTAAAAATTTGAAAAAGGACGTTTTATCAACATTTCCTGAAAGAGTTCTCGGCAATTATCACGAAGATTTTCAGAGTTGACTCAATTTTAAAATTTGGTTCGTATTTTTTCAACCTTTGGGCAGCTTTTTCTTTACAGGCCTCTTCGTTCATTAGTGCAATTGAATTTAGAATCAGATTTTCACAAATATATTTAGTTAGTCAGTAAGACCAGAAGTCACTTTTAAGTCATTGAGACTAGAAATTTTTAACAAAAAATGAAACCGCTGCGCAACCTCTCGACGCATCGAGATATGAAAAACAGAAAGTGAAATGAACAATTTTTTCAGGTTCGTCCAAATCGTTCCAGAATGCAGAGCACTAACAGACTCAGAGGTTACGAAAAACATAATAATTTTTTCGAATCTAGAAGCTTCAGGTTGAGCGACTCCTTTCGAATGGAGAGATTGTAGACGCAAAGAAACGAGAGCGTCTCTACGACGTCGTTTCCACTTCTAGCATCCATCAAGCAATCGAGCAGAGGTACTGGAAAAACTTCAAAGATATCAGCCGAATCAACATATTTCAGCTTGCATGGAATCTTGGAAGCCTCCCCGGCGACCATTCAACGCCTGCAAAACTTGCGAATTTTCCCGATCGTCGTCAAAATCCGCTTCAAGAACGTCAAGCAGATCAAGGAGATCAAAGAAGAACTTTTCGCTGAGAAGACTAGTAGCAAACAGGCAAAGGAACTCATGGAAAAGGTCAGCCTCCACTCAGAAGTTGAGAAGGACGTCAGGATTGTTTAAGGCTCAAAAAGTGGAGCTCGAGTTGGAATCGACGGGAGTTGTGGTTACCGTCTCCAGCTACCATAATCCTCGACTTTTGGTCAAGCATGTCGTTTCTCAGGTAAATCGAAAAAATAGAACTAAAATTCACGAATTTTTTAGTTTTGAAACAACTTGAAATAGTCTGATTTGTCTGCCTTCTTTTTTTCTCTCACTGGAAAGGCTTTAGAAAAATAAAGAAAAATTCAAACATGAGAGAGCAGAGGAATCAGAATTTCAAGTTTTAGCGACTTTCATATCTTTACTCTAGAAAACATCATTTTTTGTCTTTATATCTTTTAAAATGGCGTAAAAGGGGCGTGTCCGCCTAATTAGAAAACTTGGCTTAGTAGAGTTAAAAGGAAAGCAAAAAATGAACCAAATTTTTCAGACGAAGCAGTTGATCGAAGACGAGCAAAAAAGAACCGTCTGGGTGGCCTGCCAGTGACGTAACTCCGATGAGAAACAAGTTGTCATATTAAAATCGTCCCAAATTTGTAGCCTGTAGTAGCACATGGAATGAGTGGATGCGTCACGGTTGCTTCAGACAAAAAACGACTTGCGCGCGGAATTATCGAAAAGCGTGCTGTTGGACGCGGCCGCGACGCTCTGAGCCATTCCAAATGCGACCACCGCGTTTCAAGTCAAGGCGAATGAAGTATACGATTAGGTCATATTCCTTGGTGCTTTTCGAGTCTCGAAGCTCAGTTCTGCCTGATAATCCAAACGAAAATACGTGTTAGGATTTTCACTTTGATCCCATTGATTTCTCCATCCTAGTGTCCCATTTCATCACGTCAATAAATTATTGAAATTTGTCAAAGATGTCAGGAACCGAAAAATTGTTTTCCAACTGGCTTCAAAGACCGAAAAGAGCTTTCAAATGTATCACCTGGGGGGCAGGTGATTTTTGAAAATGTAGGATTCATCAAGACTTTTTTCAGGTAGCTAGCGCCTGGAAAAAAAGACGTGTGTTTTTTTCCGTTTGTCACAAACTGCCTTTTCATTGGGTTTTTTTTCATAAGAAAAAAAGGCGCAATTTTTCGAAGTATTTCTTTTTTTTTCTTGCCAACTCTGCCTAGAATCTAGGTACATTCATATTATTCATATTTCGTTTTTATGCACCTCATGTCTGATGATGAGGTCTGAAAAAGCATGAAGAGAGCTCGTTAACAACAAAAATTGAATAAACAGAAAAATTTTCTCAGTAAAAACGTTTCTCGAGTTTCTGGAAAATCATCCGAGAAGCTGACTTCCTTTTTCGTTTTCTTCTGCTTTCTTCATTTTTCAAAGCTTCAAATTATTTCAGAAAAATGTAATTGTAATCATTTTGTCGGTAAGAAGCTCAGATGTCGTTCAATTGGGACAATTATGCCAACGAGTACTCCCCAATCGGAGATTTCTTCTCCAATCAGCCGAGGATTTATTTATTTCAAGGAGGTTTGGCTTTTTTTTGACTTGACAACTCGAAAAGTTATATAGTCTGTGTGCCAAGACTTAAAATTTCACCGAACGACATTCCGCTGTTCCGCTGCGTGCGTTCGCGAAGCGTCTTTCGGGTCTGAGTCACGTTTTCAATTGATTGTTATTGCTGGGGAGCACATGAAAGTAGAGTACCTAATAAAAGAAAAAAATTAAAAAGCGCGACTAAGATTCGCAGAGACGCGCAGCGGCACAGCGAAATGTCGTTTGGTAAAATTCCAAGTCGTGGTATACAGACTATACAAAAGTGATAAGGAGAAGAGAACTATGAATAATAACAAGTTTAACTATTGGCTTACCAATTTTACAAGATATTGACAATATTTCATCTTCAAATGGAGCTGAAAAATGGACTCATAACAACTTCAGAATCTCGGTTTTTCATCAAACAAGAATTTCCGTTCCAGGAGACGTGCTAGGCATCGGCCTACTGTGTTTCGCAGCATTTCTCACACTCTTAGTTGGACTGATACTCGTTCTGAGTCCCCCTTCCTTATCCAGGGTTAAAAACTTTCCACCTTTTCAAAAATAAAGGAGAAAACATTCCAGACGTTCGCAACGATAGCAACCGTCGAAATCTTCTTCATAGTCGCCCCGAGAAGCTTCAAAACCTTTCTGCTGAACTTTTCTGAGTACCCCAACCTCGACTGGTCCAGCTTTCCGTTGATTTCTCAAATCTTGAGTTACTTCAGCCTCTTCACGGTGACGAGCATCGAGATGACGTTCAACTACGCGCTTTTCCTCCAATTCACGTCGTCTGTAATGCTCTACGTCTTCCTCCGCAACACCAACACCAAGAGCGGCATGTTAGTTGCCTTTGGCGACTTCGTGGATTCGAAATTCAGGACGTTTTTCATGTCAATCGCTTTGTTCTCCTGTATTCTCGCGATAACACATGTCAACTTCAACGTGCAGCTGAATTTCGTCCCATTTGTTGTATTTTTCCTGTTTTTCGCTTGCTTTTCCATTGGCAACATTTGTCTCTTCATTTTTGTAAGTAAACTCAAAAGCTAAGAAATAAGAGTTGAGTTCAGATGCTACTGAAGCACTGTACGACAAAATCGAGTCCTGAAGAAAAGAAGCTCGGATTTTGGCTTCTTTTGTTTCTTTCGACGTCCTGTCCTCCAACCCTTTTCATGACAAGTGAGAAAAATGATGTTGATAAATTTTGACAGAACATCTTTTTTAGTTATCACCTCAATGGATTTTCTCTTCGTGATCCTTGGAGTCACCACCGCTTATCCGATTCGTGAGTTAATATAAGTTTTTATTTTTTTGAAAAAAAGCTAAAAAAAGAACTGAAATAAATTTTTTTAAAAAAATAAAAGAAAACTGTTTTGAAAAATCCAGAACGATTTTTCTTAACGTATATTTAATTTTAGCTCACTTCGAAAGGTTTTTCGAGCTCCCCGAATTGATACTTTGATAGGGATGGAAGCGAAAACTCTTAAAATCCAAAAAAAGGCAAAAAATTTGGAACGCTTCACGAATTTGCGTGTCATCCTTGCGCAGGGGCCATGCTAATCTTCTCTGTATTGTTCCAATTTTAGTATATGTTCTCGGAAGAACGAGATGACACATGAGCCGACCGGTTATATACCCCCCTGCGCAAGTGCCTCCGACTCGCGCCGGTTTTCGCACATACATTGTCTTACTCTGGCATTCGTTGTCATAACCTAGCCTCTGAATGCCCATTCTTGAGAGCTCAGAGGTCCGACGTTCGAAGTCTTATTACGACAGAGCAAACTTTCCAAATATGAATAGCTCAATTCGATCAATGAAATTGAATCAATGGTTTAGGTAATTTTTAAAAGCGCAGAAGTCCTACAAAATTAAAATAACACAAACGGTTATTGGTCGGGAGAACTTTTGAAAATTTCGAAAAATTGAACAAACGTTTCTCTGAAAATTACTTCAAAAATTTCAGCCTATGTCTACCTGACGACTCTGCGGTACAACGTCTTCGAAGCGACTCCGATCTGCATCCTCATCTCTTTTGTTCTACTTCTTCCAGACATCAAGTTCGTTTTGGGACAAAAAGTCTCAAAAGTCCTCAATTTTTAGAAACGTCTGGAAAAGAAAGAGGCCAGAAGGCCCAAATCCTCCAGATAGAGTCGAGGAAGAGGTAAAGACCGTCGCCACGGCGGTCACGACAAGAACTTCATCTCCAACGGTCACCTCGGAATCTCCGCTCACAGTCAACATTTCGCCGACCCCCAGATCAACCAGAATCGCTCCCGCCGTCCAACCGGCTTCCTTCTCAATTCATATCCAGCCCATCGTTATTTGAAAATGAACAATCTGTCAGTTACAAAAAAATTAAAATTTAATTAACAGAAAGAAAATATGAAATACAAGCTGAAGCAAAAATACTATTAGTTTACAACCCATAAGTCGTCATGGCAAAGTGCGAAAGTTAGTGAAAATGCGAGATCAAATTGAAAAGCTAATATTAACATGAAAACAATACAATCTACAGGAAAAAGTCTGTGTTTTTCACAGGATTAGAAGAAAGATAACAAATATTTGAGCCGTTCGAGGATTTCGTGATACTTGAAGGGAAGTTTGGGCAAAACCGCCGCCGCCACGTCTTCTTCTTCCATCGACTCGTTGTCCTTGAACGTCATCAGAAGGAGGGCGTCCATCTCGCGAGTCCACGCCTATTCAAGGAATATTTGAACGTATTACGATATAACTTTTGAATAGTTAATATACTATTCACTACGACATGTCTGTCCCCTTTTGATTTCTCAGTAAAAATATATTTAGGTGTTTTTTTCACACTCTAATGACCGAGCAGATGAAAGAAAAGAGGTGACAGACATTCAAAAGTGAGATCAATTGAGCAAGTGAATTTTTTTAGTAAGGTCATTTTGAGAAAATGAGTTTTTTTTCTGATAATGGCCTAGTAGTTATCCAAAATCACAGGATAATTTTAAAGTTTCTTTTTTTTCTTGTCATAACAAAAAAATTTAAATTCGATCGCTCATACTTAGATTTTAAAAAATATACAGCTTGTTGAAAAACTAGCTTGACTCATTGAATATTCTGGATCCAACTCAAAAAATTAATTTTTTAAAAAGACGCTAAAAGCATTCCCTAAAAGGAAAGCATACCTATTTCTACGCATTATAACTCTGTAAACTAAAGAATAAACGAGAAAAGACTAATTTTTTTTCATTGGAATAAGATCTGACCCTATTCTTAGGAAGTTTCAGACGTGGGTCCATACTCATTTTTCTGATTTAGAACACAATTTTTAACGCTTGATTCTCCTTTGTATAAAATCTTGAAGCTTTTCTTTGCCTATCGAAAAATGTCTGAAGCTTTTCAACGTCTATTGTTTCATTTCAAGCTGGAAAAACTCACCGCAGGTTCTGGTTTCGATTCCGAAGACACATCAACAGGAACTACAGATCCTTTGTGTGTAGCCATCAAATGACCGCGATAAACGTGTAAAGGTCCCTTGCTCTTCACTTTTGTCGCGCCCAAAACAGCGTCGATGTCGTCAATTTTCTCCATCATGAAATCCTCCTAAAATGGAAATTATTTTCAAAACATTATTCTCATATAAACCGCTGAAAAAGTTTCGTTCAAAGTCAGGTCGATGAACTCGAAATCCGAAGATTTGCATCTGAAAAGAAGAAATTGATGAGATTAGTTCAAAATAGACTCTAAGCTTTTCAAGTTCGGTCTAAAAACCCCCATAGGGAACAAAAAAGTGCATAAAATTTGGATGGTCCCTATAGGGACTAATCAAGGAACCCCTGAAGCTCAAGTGGTCCCTATAGGGTCTGTAAATTTTTTTTTGTTCAGATAAAAATAAACGACAGCCTACTCTCCTAAAGGGCCCACTAACTGAACCCCCATAAGAGGAAGTAAAGCAGTCACTAGAGGGGAACCTTCAAGGCCCCTAAAGTTGCCTTTATAGGGACCACTCTAGAATTCCTTAATACGTTCTGGTAGACTTAGAATATTACAAATCTTATAAAAATGAAGGGATTCAAGAATAATGTTCGATTTAGTTGCAAGATCCGTTATTTGGAGAGAAAAAGATCAAACTAACGGCCGGTTGTAAGGCGATGAGTGGAAATACTTCTCGATTCTATTCCAGAGCGGCCTTTCGTTACCCAGAAGCTCGAACATTCGTTGCCGAGCCTCCGTTAAGTTCAAATTTTCATCTCCTGAGCAAAACATCCCTAAAGGTTTCTGAGAGCTTGTTTTACCTAAAGTAGCGATCATACGAAACATCTGTCTAGCGTTGGGCTGCTTCAGCTTCGCCGCTGTCATGTAAGCCTGACAGTTTATTTTTTTTTAAAGAACGGACGATTATTCAAACTTCTATGGACATCATCATGTCGAGCGCATTTTTGAAGGCAACTCTTCGCGGCTCCGAAATAACGTGTGCCGGTAGCAGTTTTTCTGGAAGGAACGCTGAAACCAGGACGAAGACGTCGGGAAGAGACGAGAGCACCTGTTCCAGGAGTTCTACTCTCTGGAAAGATCCAAGTTGGAACTCAAAAAACACTATGAAAACTTATCAGACTTATCAACAACAGAACCACTTTCAAGAAACTTTAATTTCATGAAAAAGACTTTCTTGGATTTTTCGAACTGAATAACTAAAATCAGACTCACTCCATCAAAAAAAAATTTTTGAGTTCACTTCTGGTCACATTTTTATCTTTACCCCACCTACACTCAATTAATCATTATTTTTTCCTTTCTAAAAAAATCTGAATTTTTTTTTTCATTGTGTTTTTTTGTTTCAAGAAGGAAGTACCGTCCCTAGGTGTAGTTGCTAAAAAAACTTTTCATAATTTCAAGAGGAAAATATCTGACCGCCTGCGGAAAGACTTCGCGTTCTGTATAAAAAATTTGGTCCTCGTTTATTTTATTCAAATGTTGGCTCAATTATACCCCGTTCGGCGCGAATTGAAACTTTCTGTCTGTCTGCGTCTCTCCGTTCCCTCCCCGGCGAAGTCAGAGAAAAATAAAACAGTACGTTAAGACGAGAGGGCCGCCGAGAGACGGAGAGGCCGCAGAGAAGTCAGGCCGTTTCAAGTCGCAGCAAAAGGGCTTTAGGAGGGCATATATTTCTTTAAACCTTTTCTTCGGTGATACCTCCGTCGGCCATGATCAACTGCATGCTGGTCCACATCTCCTGGTGCATAAACATGCGACTTCTCACGTCCTGGGCGATCTTCTTGGCGATTTGCATCGTTTGCCAGTAGCGATACTCCACGTTGACCATTCCTGCCGCGCCCATGTCTTCCTGGAAAATTCGAAAATAATCATTATGAGCTCTGAAAGTCCAGGTATAGCCCTATCCCAGGTAAGAAATTATGAATAATTTGGGAAAAAAAGGAGACAAGAACGTCTTTCTACTCCAACTCTCCAACCCACTTCAAAATAGTCACCTTTTCAATTCGCGACCTTTTCCTGCTACGCTGCGAAAGTCGGTCGTCAACTGAAGGAGGTTCGAAGAACAAGGCGCATTCGATGTCTTCATCTGCGGCTCGAGTTCGGACCTAGAAAAAGTCTCAGCTGGTTGTCAAAACTATTCTGATTACCTTTTCAGCGGATGGCGGTTGGAAACTCGTGTTTCGCTTATAATAATCCTCCTAGAACGTTTCAGTTTTTATATGGAACTTATGAACTTTCAAACCAAATAATCTGAGAGAGAATATCGAGAACAGTCGCCGATAAAAGAAGTACTGTTCTCATCGCAATACGTTCGTGGAGTCGGCGGAATCCGGGTCTACAAATTATTTTTCACTTTTTGAGAAGAAACCCCAACTCTCGTTCTGTATTTGCATTAAAAACAAGCTTCCAAAATAAGATTTCAGCTCATTAGAGCTAGAATCTTTTGGTAAACTTCCTGTGAGTTGTTATAGTCGGTGGGCCTTTGCGAATCTTGGTCGCGCTTTAAATTTGTTTTCGTTGCTCGTGGATAGACTGCTCTACTGTAAGCACGTGAATGTCGAGTTCTAGAATAGAAGAAAAAAAAAGTGCGACCGAGATTCGCAAAGGCAAAAACGCTTCGCGACCGCACGCAGCGGAACAGCGGAGTGTCGTTCGGTGGAATTTCAAGTTGTGGACCATCAAAAACTCACACTTTCATTACTAAGCTGGTGGTTCATTGGATCGTAGTAATTGCTTTGCGAATCTTCGCCGTACTCAATGAACGAAGTTTCGAGCTGAGATAAAGGTCGTTTGCCGGGCGTTTCGGGGATCTGAAAAGAAAAAATTGAGAAAACTAATTTCTCGAAATTATGTGTAACGCACTGATTTCACAAGTGAGACGCATTTTTTCTTTAAAAATAATGAAAAAAAAAGTTGGAATGATCTTTAAAAGCTTTGGGTTTCCAAAGCCCACGTAAAAGCTTTCAGAAGCTTCTAGGTTCTTAGAAAGAACTATAGGGGCGACTAAAGGCAAAAATTAATCATGAGAAGCTCAAAAATTTTCAAAAGCAAGAGGTTCTCTTAATCTCTATAAACAAACCAGATACTGCAAAAAAATAAGAATGAGTTCTCAAAAAACTTTAATTTCGAGCGATCATAACGCTCTATAAGATTTCGAAGTGAAACATTTTTGAATAAACTCGGATTTCATCTCAAAATTTTTCTGTCAACGCCTTGATGCAAGAAAAAAATTTCTAAAAGACGTTGAGATAAAAATTTCGAATCAAGAAAAATAAAATCCTATCCTTGATTCAAGTTCCCCAAATTTAACAAAAACCTGCAGGAAAATTCACGAATAAAGCCTTTTCAAAAAATTCAGACTCACAAAGATACTACTATTTCCGGAACTATCTGGCGACACTGGAGACCTGTTCCTTTCTTCCACAACTGACTGGTTTCCGAAGTCCGGCGAAACGTATCCAGAACCAGTGGGAGACGACGTTCGAGTCGTCTGAACAAGTTTTGATCCTTCTGAGGTTGAATGGAACAACCTCCGTCTGAATTTCGGTTGAAAAGGAAGGCAAGAGGTCGTTGGAAATCAGTTCGGCTTGTGCCAGAGCGAAACTCTCAGCGACCGAAGTGACAGGAGGAGTTGAGGGTTTGACTTCATCTTCTATTGGCTGCTGACCAACGTCGGGCTTATTTTCTGTTGCTGCTAGCTGGCCGGACTGAAAAAAAAAATTACATTTTCTCTGATTTTCGTCCAGGGAATGGTCTCAGCTCACAATGGGACTTCTGAATGAAGCTAGATGAAGTTTTTCCTGCTGATAAAAATATGCACTGCTTTGAAGCTAAAATTTTTTTTTCCTTAACGAACAGGAAACTTTTCCTATTTTTTCTTAACTTTTCGTTTCTTTTTTATTTCAGAAATTTTGGTAACTTTACTCAACTTTGGGACGTTTTTGACATACTAAATAAAATTCCAGAACGTATCCGTTTGCAAAAATATTTTAAAAAGGCGTAAAAGTAAACTTTCTGATAAAAGGGGAAACTTAAAAGTTTCCAAAAAATATAGGAAATTCTCTGTAAAATTCAGAATGAATAAACCTAGCTTATTAGAATTAGAGCCTTTGGTCAAGTAATATTCGAAAATTTCTTTTTTTCCGAAAAAATTGCAAATTTCTGTTTTCCCGAGAAAAATTTCAAGTACCATTCAATATTTGTTAATGAGAATGAAAGATCATAGTCAAAAAAACCAGGAAAAAAACCACGCTAGGAAAGACTCTCAAGACGTTTTTTTTTATGAATAAACCATTCTTTTAATTCACAAAGATCATTTTTCTAAAAGAAAAATCGGGCTTACCTGAGGTGGAACTTGAATGATGGACGGATAGATGACGGAAAGCAAGTTGAGCATCTTCCCAGTGTCGATGACGACGGCCTGAGAGCCGTTGACAGTTGTCATTCGGACAAGGCTATTTATGGGGGTGTCGCCGTAGTTCACATCCGAAATATTCAAATTATTCCTATTTTTTACTCCAAATTTACCTATCACAGGCTTTTTGAGTCGACGCAGGACATGAGGAGAGACAAAAACAAAGTATCTCGAGAAATGCTGGAAAAATGGAGCATGAAGTCTCGAAAAGTCAGGACTCAAGTCACCTTTAGCCACCTTGGCTTCAAGTCTTCTGGCCAATTATTCATGGGCGAATTTTGAACGGTGAATTCCGTCGGCTGGAAAGCCAATGTACACATTCCTTGTTCCGCTTTCTGAAAAATTCAACCTTTAAAAAAACTCAAAAAAATCGAAAAACAAAAAAAGTAATACATTTCATGACGTCATAGGAAGCTGAGAAGATAAAGAAATTGAATCGTTTGTCAGTTTTTTTCAAAAATGGGGTTAAAAAAATATTTTTTTCGCTTTGCTTTAACATAAAAAAATTTGAAAAAAAGCATGAAATTTCAGCAACACGTTGTTCAACTTTCATTCTCAAGATTTATTTTTTTCAAATTACTACTTTTTCCTATCAGAAATATATTTAAAAAAAGCTTTAAGTCTTCGCTCAAGCTTAAACATCAAAACAAACTGCGATCATTTCATGAATCGGCAAACTCGAGTCTTTGGTACAGCGCATCGTCTGAAAAATATCGTTTCACCTCAAAAAGTTCAACAAAAAATCTGACTTTCATATGGATTCGGATCCGAGTTCCTGACCTTGATGGCAGACAATTTTCGGACATTCTCGTGTACCTGAAGATATGAGATGATTCTGTCAAGTTTGCGTCCTTTTACCTGTCGATGACTTTTTTGGAAGCTCGCCTAGGCAGGTGTGCAAACTGGAGAAGGGAAACGAGGAGCATGAGATTCTCAGATTTGAGGAAACCCGCTAGGGGCTTGTCGAAGACGTGAGATTGAACTTTGGGAATGAGGTGCGGATAAATGATGGCGGCACTTCGGGACAAAACGGCCACAACTTCAGGCCGGGGACATTGACCAGCTGAACAGGCTTATTGGAACCAATTCTCAGAGAATTATGAAATAACTGAAGTGGCTCCTATAGAGACCATTTTCTCAGCTCGGTGAGAAGCTTCTGATATTAACTACAATCACCAGGATAAAGTTTTTACGCTTATTCTCAACCTCGGCGAAAAAGTTACAGGGCTCAAAGTTGAGCTAATTACTGGAAGGATGATGAAACTAGCCTAGATTATCACGAAAAATCGTTCACTAATAGATTCGACAAATTTCTCACGCCCTCAAGACTTTCTTTATAGCCAAACTGTACCTTTTTTCGGGAGCTTTGTTTCAAATGAAAGTTATAAATTGATAAACTGATGGAAAACCATCTGATCAACTATTTCTCGACAAACCTGGAGCATCCAGAGCTTCGCTCCACTTGACGTCTTCTTCATTGACCTGCGTCATTTTGATGACGTCATGACATGTTTTGATGGCAGCCTCCAGATTGGGGATGTTGAAAAGAGTGGGGCTCAGCGAGGCATTTTCGAGCCGAGCCGCTTGCTCCCAAAATTTTGATTCCAGTTCGTTCTGAAGATATTGAGCATAGATAGGCGAATACAGAACTCGTTCAGCCCGGGAGGAGGGATTGGCTCGCAAGAACTGAGAAAAATCAGATCCAATTTCAACCTCAGGCAGGTACTTTTGGCTACAATATTACAAGTTTCAGCCTCGAGGTGGTATCAACTTTAATCCAGGAAACCTTGGGATGCCAAAAAAAGATGGCCTGCCCATGTATGATATTGAACTTTTCATACCAATGAGGAAACAAATAATATCAAACTTAGAAAATACCGGGATGAACTTTCTTGTGAAAACAAGATGATTTTATCAAAATCAACATCATTTATCATTGAAATTATTATTTAGACAATTAAAATTTTCAATTGTTCAGCCTTTCAGATCTTTTGGCAGCTAAACTGGATGGAAATAAAAACACAGAAATGCCTAAAATTGAGTGTAGGACAGGACAATCCATAAGAAGTTTGAGCAAAACGAAAACTCAAAAATGTTCTCGTGTTTTTGCAAGGTTTCTACAAATCACAAGTACCCATAACTCGCGAAAAAGGTTAAAATGAGCCCACTTAAGCTTCTCCCCTAAAGTACCTACTCGGAAGACCCCCACGATTTATCAAAAACTCACGATCATCAGCTGGGAAGAGTTCCGAGTCCCCTGAAGATTCGAGTCGTGGTAGCAGAGAACGACGGTCTTCAAGGATTTTCGTCAAAAAAAATGACTTTTTTTTTTGAAACCTGAGTCAGAAGCTGAACGTGCTGCTGAAGCTGAGATCGCAACTCCTTCAGTTCGCAAGGCCGGAAAGTTACAAGGCCAGCTGTATTTATAAAATAAGAAAAGTTGAGAAGTTCTTCTAAAAGCTGTAAGATTGAGGACAGGAAATGCATTAAATATTCCTAAAAAGGTGCGAGAATCTCTAAGATTATATGAAAAAAAAGGTTGGGCTTCTATTTTTCGACTGTTTGAAAAAAATATTTTTTTACCGAATTTTTTTACCCTTCTTGATCAAAAATCCAACAATAAACTTTTAATGTCTGCAAAAAGCTTTTTTTTTAAACTTTTTGGTGTAGTTTCTTTTTTTCGTTTTTGGGGAACTATCGCCTTAATTGAGGGGATTGAATTACTTTTTTCTGATCAGAATTATCAGGAAGCACAAATGAATTCAAATATTTTGTCAAGGCAAAAAAAAAAAGCTTTTCCGCGTTCTTCCAGGTAATTAAAGCCTTCTAAACGGTTCGCCAAGGAACATTCGGAAACGAGTATTCTCAAAAACTGACGCTTCAAAAGGCTGCACGATTCGCCGGGAGCCGTCTCATGCATCCTTCGAACAACTTTCTCATCCTGAAAACTCGAAAATTTCTTAAGAAGCGTTTTTTTCAAAACAATCTTGAATTGACTCGTTTTCTCCAGAACATTTTCTCTCACTCTCACAGGGCTGGTCACAGGTGATTCTTCCTGAAGATAAAAATATAAGATCTTGATTATTTAGAAAGAAAACCTCGATATCAGGATCTCCAGTGACAGGCGCCCCGTGCTTGTTAACTGACAGCATGTCGTATAGAAGGCCGACAACTTCTCTTTCTGAAAAGTTCAGTAGAATCCATAGAAGATCGAGGTGGCTCTACTGGGAATCTCAGTGGCTCGTCCGCCGCGAATCTCATCAGAATCCTCGCGTTCGACGTCGAGAATATCGTCCAAAACGTTGTACTCCTCATCTTCAAGGTCGTCGTCATCCACTTGAACCGCCAGATCTGAAACAGCAAAAAAGTTTAGAATTCACTGGAAAGACGACTTATTTCAATCATGTCACCAAACTCGAAAAAATTGAGCCAAGTATGTTCTTTCTCAACTACTTGGTGCAATTTTTTATGTTAAGTCTCTTTTTTCCTGAAGTTCCTGTTGTAAAAGTTGTGAAGGCTTTTTTCTTCGAGCTTAACGAATTTCCTGTGAAATCCAATATACGTTGAGAATACTAGAAACATTTTCGAATTCCCCAAATTCTTAAATTTCGATAGGAAAGGCCCTAAAAATCAAAGTAATTCATTAAAATCTATGATATAGACCATTTTGAACTTTTCTTTCTCGAAAATATGAGTTTTACAAAATAACACGTTTATGGTCTTTATCCAGGGCGCCCAAAAAATGAGATGAAATTTTGAAAAAAAAACCCTAGAAAAAATGAAACTTTTTTTTACAAATAGCTTTTTTGAGGCTTTCAAAAGTATAAAAAGACCATGTTGGGCTTCATTTTGATCTTCTGCAAAAACTTTTTCAAAATAAAGGTATCACAAGCACTAGGAAATTCTTTTCAAAGATTCATTTTATATATCCCTTTTTGGGTTTCGTTTTGAACTTTTATCGTGTTAACAGCATTCAATTCACCATTTGCATTTGCTTGGTTGATCGAGTAGATGAAGTCCAAATACTCAGGATTGGCAGTGGTCATCAATTCACATTCCTCGTCCAAGTCTCCATCGTCCAGCTGTTCGATGGAGCACGTCTCTTCGCGCACTAACGAATCGTTCAGATTTCGATGACGGCTTCGGAATTGGTAATCGTCGAGCTGAAGTGAGGAGAATCATGAGAGGATCCTTCAAAAGATGAACCTCCGGCTCCTCATCCAAAGAAGCGAAAGGATCTTCTGTCGAACAGCCGGGCTTCGGTTCCACGTCTTCTTCTTCCTCTTCTTCTACATATTCTTCTAAATCTTCGCTCTCCAGATCGCTCTATAACACAATTTCTTCCAATTCTGTTGATCTGGAAAAAAACTTGATTCTGGTCGTTGTCCTCTTCAGGTCGATAGTCGTCATCCTCGTCGTCGTTGTCATAATTGACGCCCAGGAACGTCCTGACAGTCCTGATCACAGGCTGAACTTCATCTGCTTCTCCCAGAGATTTCTTCGTCTTTGAGCGCGTGAGCTTCACTTCTGGAATATCGTGTGCGGAAGCATCTTCCAGTCCCAAAATCACAGGTATCACTTGTGGGTTTTTAATGAGGTGCTGCAAGACTTTTAAAAATTTCCAGGAAATATTGGAAGAAACGCACAAACAAAATTGATTTCACATTCAGTGTATTAAGATTGAGTGACTTCGCCTTATCCTCTAAGGTTTCGTCTAAGTGACGCCACATTTTGACAATTTCATCTCGTTCTCCTACATCGATAGATCTGAAAGTTGCTTAAAACTCAAACAAAAGCAATTAAATATTACTGCAGTTCCGAGAGGTCCTTTTCGAAGTCTTTCGAGCATCCTGCTTGTTCTTTGGCGTTCATGATGAGGTTAAACCCCTAAAATAATAAACACTTCACAAAAAGTAGTTTTTTAATGCAGAATTGAAAATAAAAAGTGAAATATTTTGAGAAAAAAAAACTCGCGTAAAAAAGATCAGGAGCCGATGGAAAACTGCGCGCTAATGATAAAAAAATAGGTACGGTGCAAGTCCGACTCGGCGAGCAATTTAATTTTTAAATTAATATTCAGTTTGCTCATTGTAACTTTGTGGAGCTGTTTTTTAGTTGTTGAGGATTTATCGCAAAGGGTACGTGGAGTACAGGCAATATAACTTCTCTTGTATTGGTATAGAATACGCTTTTCATCCCTTCAATTCAGAATTCTTGTGGTTCAAATATTTTTGCTTCTCTTTCCACTTTGTGAAGTTTCTAAAGTGTTTCCTGCTTTCTCTCAGAAACAAGTTTTGATAATTCAATTTTATAGTAATTTCGAAGACTGAATATAGGGGGTATGCGTGGAAGGCTCGAGGGAAAAGACTTGTAATTAGTCATCTCAAATAAAAGATATATCTAAGACAAAAGTTTCGAAGTTCATCATATGCAGCTGTTCACTCTTATGAAAAAAAAATTTTCATTCCAGTATTTCACTCCGATTAGTACCAGATTCATTGCTTTCATGTATCCTTTATTCGCGACGTCTAAAATCTTCTTTTTCTGAATCCATTTTCGCGTTATTTTCATAAGTAGAGCTTCAGAAATGGTACTCAGCAAGGTTCGAGGATGGGTATCGCTTTCGTGGACCTATTTATGGGCGCTCTGGTTTTTGTTAGTAGTCGTGCTCATCTACGCTCTTCGTGGCCCCTTGAAGATCTCAGAATCGTTTGAAAATGGTATTTTTTTTGTTTTCGAAGTAAAAGTAAGAAGTTTGGTTCAGTTTCCGCTTCATCATATTTCAACAACCTCACCCCGAAGTTCTACGTGGCTCTGACCGGAACTTCGAGTTTGGTGTCCGGCATCATTTTGATCTTCGAATGGTGGTACTTTAAAAAGTAAGTGCATTGAAAATGATATCAGTATGGAATTTGAGAGTTTCACATTATTTTTATAACGTTTCGTGTTAAAGTAATGCAGTCGACACGGGGAGTGAAGACGGGAGTGACAACGAAGACAGTATAGAGAGCACGAAAAGCATCCCAGGTTTTCTTTTGAAAGAAACAGTGCTTGAAAAACGAGATGATTAGTTTCAGTCGAGTGCAAAGTGTGGAGGAACCCCATGGCGTTGCTCCGCGGCGCCGAATACAACAGAGTCAAGAAAACGCAAGGCCTTGAGCCGCTCACCTACTACGACATGAACCTCTCGGCTCAGGACCACCAGAGTTTCTTCACCTGCGACGAAGACAACGGCAAGCCGGACTATGAAAGTGAGGAAAAGAAGAAATTCTTACAAGAAGCCCGCTTTACTTTTTCGAAAAAACCCTCAAAATCCGTCAAAATAGGCCATTTTGGAACTTCGAGCCTTCACTACTCGAAAACTAAGAATATGTGCAGGTTGAGTTTTTCAGAATCTTTTTCTGGTACTTCAATGAAAGTTCTGGCCAATTTTCAGAGAATTCCTATAAAATGGCTTCCCTTGTCAGTGGAAGATTTGAAAATGAAGTTTTGCAATGGAATGTTTTAGTAATGCAAGTGGCATGGCGAGACCGCGACAGCCATTCGAGGATCGCCGCCGCCCACGAAGCCCTGAGGATAAATCCGGAATGTGCTCCGGCTCTGATCCTACTAGCCGAAGAAGAGTGCGACACGGTCACAGAGTCTGAAGCCATGTTGAGGTAGTTCTCAATTGAAATCTGAAATTTTCCAACATAGATACTTTAGAAGAGGGTTTGGAATTTATTGAAATAAAGTATTTTAATGAGATTTTTTGAGTAATGCGAAATTGAATTGAAATTTTCTGCTCTATGTAAAGATCCTTGTATCTGCCTAAAATTCTAGTTTTTTAAATCAAAATTTCCGATTTTAAAAACATTGAAAACAAATTAAGGGTATCCTCTAGACAGCTGCAGAATGATTTCACAACTTCATTAAAATTTTCAAAGCTTGCATTAAAATCACCCTTTCAAAATCACCTTTCGCATCATTGATGCAAGAATTTTTGAACATAACGTGAAATAAAAACCAATTTTAATGATGAGAAGACATTTTTGAAAGCACTTCTAGCGACACTCAAAGTTCTCTTCATCAGCTGATTTTTGCGACTTTTTTAAAGTTTCAAATTATTTCAAAGTTTAGTTCTGTGTTTGCAGAAGAGCGTTGAAAGCGACAGAAACGGCTTTGGCGGCTTCTGCGACGGGGCCTGGAGGCCAGCTTTCCTCGTTTCAGGACCGTGTCGGAGAAATGTTCACTCGTCATGCCCGACGTGAGATTTCAGATCTTCAAAATCAACTGAGACTTCTGTTTCCAGGTCGAGATCTCAACATGCACATGTACATCAAAAGACGGTTGGCCATGTGTGCGCGGAAGCAGAGTCGACTCCGGGAGGCCGTCAAAATGTTCAAAGAGGTTCGCAGTTGATTTTTAATCCTAATATTGAAGTTTTAGTGTTAAAAAGAACTCAGTTATCTTCAAAAAACCAAAATTTATTAGGAACAGCATTGAGTAGAAAACAGGCTGTAGAGAAAAGACGAAAAACAACAGTTGAAAAAAGAAAAAAAATTTTTTGTTGAAACTGAATTGTTCGAAATGAATAGAGGGTGTAGGTCGATGATTTGAGGTGATATTCATAAAATAATTGACCCGAATATCAAATTTTTGAGAGCAAAAAAAAAGTTATAAATCTCTGAAGTTTTTTTTTCTAGTTATAGAGTGAGTTTTGTGTGACAAAGACGGATACCGTTTGATTGAGGAATAAAAAATATAATAAATTGTCCCAAGCCTTTAAGTTTTATGCGAATACGGGGGCTTTAATGGAACAGATAACCTTGAAAAGAAGAAAAAAAATTATTTGAAGCTCAAGAAATGCGTTATAAGCAGATATAAAGAAGTTTTAAAAACACGATAATAATTTGATAGGCTTCAAAAAAAAAATGGGATACTGTGGTCTAACTAGATAAATAACCAAAAACTGCTCAAAAATTTTTTGTTCAAGTGGAAATTTAGTTGAAATGGAATGTGTTTAAAATCTCGTTTAGATGACGAGGGAAGGGACGATGGGGACGATTCTGAATGTCCAAGAGAATTTGATAGAGGCTTGTTTGGAGATGCAGTCCTACGCCGACGTGCAGGCTCTTCTTGTAAGATACGATGGATACGGTGCTCCTTGTTCCTACGGTAAGTCAAAAGTTTTGATAAAAATATTAGGAAAAATGGAAGTCAGATTGAAACGTTTTTTCAGATCTTCGTGAGCCGAGGTCAGCCGTCCTGAGCTACACGTCAGCGCTGCTCAAGGCGAGAGCCGTGGCCGAAAAGTGAGAAGAAGGGCATTTCAGAGGCTATATGAGTTGATGTTCAGCTTCCGATGCTCGGTGGACAATTCGATGCGCCGCGGGATCTCTTCGGCAGAAGCGACGGCTATCGAGGCGATCACTCGGGCCATCGAATTCAATCCACACGTCCCACTTTATTTGCTCGGTAAGAAAGGAATATAAACATAGTAGTCGAGGCTTGAGATTTGTAGGACATTCAAGTCAATGAGTGAATAATTCTTGATACGATAAAGTTAACGTGGAATCAGTGAAGTCTCATTCAAAAATCGTTGAAAAGGCGAGAATTAGAGGGAAGTCGCATCATAAATTTAAGAAAAAAATACCAATCTTCTTGAAAGTTTTTAGGTAAGTTAAGAAAATTTTTCAATTTCAAGAAAAACAAACTTGCGTGTGTTTTTTGTCCCAATCCAGCCGTGACAGGCGAGATAAATTTTTAAAAATTTTGATTTCGCTTTCTTGTTCCTAACAACTGAGGGCCAGATCCGGGCGCTTCATGCCCGATCCTGCCCTCCACCATTTTTGATTTCAGTGTTTTTCGTTTCTTTTTCGAAAAAGTTTTTATTGTAAACCACTTCCAGTCAGTTCGTCAGCAGAATTTTTTAAAAATCGAATGAAAATTACAGAAAAGAGTCTTCAAATACATATTTTTTTTCACCCCACAAAGTTCTGACGCAACAATTATTAGGAAAAGTTCAAAAAAATTATTTTTAGCTACTTTGGCATGATCTGCCATAGCAGTTCGGGAATGTTGCGCCCTAGAAAACGAAATTTTATGAAGTGACTCTAGTGTCATGATTCGAATTATAAATGTAAACGATTCAAAACACTTCCGGACCTGATTTCCCTACTTCTGATATGGGAGAAATGAACCAATCCACGTGTCACTCTCATTCAGAAATGAGACCGATGATTCTGCCACCGGAACATTATCTGAAACGCGGCGATTCCGAAGCATTGGCCTACGCCTTCTTTCACATCCACCACTGGAAACGGATCGACGGCGCTCTTCAGTTATTGAGATACACGTGGAAAGGAGGTTTCCATTCGGTCATTTTTAATTTTGAATTGATTATTATCTAGATTTTGCTTCTCGCTTTTCAATGAGTGGCTACTGCTATCCGTATTCTCCTCAACTTGAGACAGCTGACAGGGAACTTTTGCCAGGTAAACTTTATTTGAAAACAAAAGAACATTTTTTGTATTGTTCTCCGACGCCTCAGGATGTCTGTATTTGAGAATAAATGAATTGAAAAATTGAGCGGAGTCATGGAAAAAATAACTCTTTTCGAAGGCTGTGAAAAATGCTGTATCGTTTGATAAAGAAATTTTTTCCATTGCAGCGTGGCATGAAGTTTCGGTGTTCCCGAAAAAGGAAAGCGCCATTTTCGCCTTGCTTCAGACTTTGATCTGTCTCGGAATCTGTGCACTTGCTCTCTTCATTCATCATTATCCCAACAGCGCCAATCAAATGATCCATTCGGTTTGTTGATGAAAACAGTTGTGACAGAAATTTTAGTTTTGACTGTGAAAAAAAAAATTATTTAGTCAAGTGGAAGCTTTTTTTATCAATTATAAGGCATGCTGGTGAAGTCGGTTCACTACTGAAAATCTTCAGGTAGTCATCTGGAGCAACAACTTTATCGACCAAGTGGCCGAAGGCCTTTCCCAGTGGGTTCCTCATAACGTCGTCAGTCTTCTGGCCTCGAAACCTGTCCCCGTTGCCGAAAACTGAAAAGTTGAATAATCTACTAGTTCCGTTCACATATCCTCGTTATCCATTTTTCTCAATATTCCATTATTTGTTTGCAAACTTTCCTGTCAATAGAATGTCGTGTACAACTGCATAAAAAAAACTAGTCGCGTATTGTCTTTAACTCTTGCCGATGAAACTCGAGCATTTTCTTCGCAATTTTCCTAATTTATGGCACTTTTCTTATCTCACTGGTGTTTCCCAAGTTGCATCTACCATGATCTCTAATCTGTTTTAAACACTGTTCCGTTATTTTGAATAAATTCTAAATTATTCTCCGAATTTCTTCCAAAAAATGGTATTTCTCCCAAGAAAATATCTGGAAGTTTGGTGATCTCGGATAAAAAAGAGAAAAAAACATTTTTCAGATGGGATCAACCACACCAATAGACACGAAAAAGTTGGTAGAAGCCTTGTTGGGCGACCTCCGGCTTTTGTCCCAGGAAGCGAAAAAGAAACAGAATCATGTCAAGGAGGTACCTTTTAGAAATACCTAGTTTTTGGTTCGGAAAAATACGGAGCAACTTGCAAAAAAAATAATAATAATAATTTCGGGCGCAATTAATAGAAAAATCAACCCAGTGATTTTTTCAATTGCAAGGGGCTTCAAAAATTCCCAGAAAATTTTGAAAATGTGTACGCTTTCAAAATGGCATAAAAAAGGATAGCAAAAAGGAGAGCGTGAAAAAAAGCTAAAATATGGCGAAAAGGTTCCTTTAACGAGCCTTTGCTCAAAAACGGGTAAAATTGGTTGAGGCAGGGAGACCTTTGGACTTTCTATATGTAGTACCGTCATAGCTGATTCACGGCTAGCTTGAGCCATTGAAAAATGGGTCCTGACACGATAATGAAAGAGAAAATATCTGGCTGGTGAAGAGTATAGACTGGCCACGCTCTTTTGAATTTCAAGCCAGCCATGAATCGGTTCTATCATTAGTAAGCATATGCCAAACAAATACGGAATCTTCAATTTAAAAAACCCACAAAAAATTTAAACTTCAGGCAGCAGAATCGGGTGTGGCCCGAATCAGAAATATCAGCACGGCGTCGGGCGAAAAGTCGTTGCTGACGAACCTCCGCGCGGCTTGCACCGAACTCCTGCACCCGCTGATCCTCGCCTGCGCCACGAGACACACTCGTCTGGTCCAAATCGCCCTGCAGGGTATCCAGAGACTCATCCAGCACAGGATCCTCAGCTCGGTCAGCTTCACAAACGATTTTCTGACAATGCCAATTCATTGGGCGAACCCTAAAAAGTTTACTTTTATGGAACTTTACATGACCTTTTTTTTAACACCTATTCATCTTTTGAAAATGAACCTCATTGATAAAAGCTCATGAAAAGCCTGGGAAAGTTTCTTGAATTCCTTAAAAAAGATTTTGATTTTTCGGAATTTCTCGCCTTCGATAATAGGAACATTGAAAGTTACAAAACGTGGAAAGGTTTTTTCTTTTTTAATCTCGAAAAAATGTTTGAAGGCGTTTTCTAGTTTTCATACGCTTTCTGATAGTATAAAGTTCACTTATAAAAAATAATTAAAGGTTTTATTTTGCGAAAAAAATCGACAAGCTTTGTCTTACTGTTTCTCGGTTCCTTGATTATTCCCAACTTTCCGTTAAAACGATAATTGGGTTTTTTCCCCGTTAATTTCCTCAGTTTCAAATTTTCTCTGTGATTTCTGAGCAGCAAAAAAAAGGATTTACAAGAGGATTTTCATAAAAATGAAGCAAAAAATAAATTATCATTTTGCGTTTGAAATTGATACTTAATTTTAAAATGAAAGAAAACTGAATTGAAAATGTTCAGAGCGGAGCAGGAGTAGTCGTCAACGAACTGTGGGGTCTCGTCGAAGACGAATGTGAAGAGGTTTTTTCGAATTATCCTTTTCAGTTTCTCCAAATTTATTTTTCCAGTTGCGCGTCCTGCAAACCGTCCCTCCGCTCGTTTCTTCTGAACTCATCGTCACAGGAAATACTCTTGCAAAAGTTCGGTTTACTCCAATTTTTAACCTTTCTTATGAGAAAAAATGGCAGAAAATATGCTTTTGGGGCTGTTTATTCCTTCTAAGAACTAGGAGACTTTGAAGAAATTTCTTTTCCATGTCAAAATTGGATTTTTCAGTGTATTGTCATGTGTTTCCGGCTGCATTTCGCCAAAGATACGATTGTGATAAATGCAGCGTCGGCCGCAGTTCGACAACTCGTTTGCTGCGTTTTTGAACGGGTCGTACAGGTATTTTCATTGTTTTAGACATTTTTACGATCATTTTTTGATGATTTAAGTGCACTGGACAATTCAATGTGTGGTAAATTTCCCATAAAAGCTTTAATTTTTAAAAAAATGGCCAGAAAAATGAAATTTCAAATGCTTTTTTTAATCTCCATTCAAGCTTCTTCTCTAGAAAGTTTTTCGGCTTTCAAGAAAAAGAACTTTAATCTAGTTAGATATATGTTTCAAGGACTTTACTTTAAAAAAATCTGATTTTTGTTCAATTGAGTAAAAAGCAGTATAGTGTGAAAGTAAATATTTAGTGATTTTGTAAGGAAGTTTCCATAAAATGTCAAATGTGGAGAATCTGCTGGTCAGTTTTCTTTTCAGTGTTTTTCATGTTATTTTGGTGAATATTTGAAAATAAAATCCCCTAGTTAAAATAAATCCGTTAGCTTTGAAAAAAAGTAGCCTATAGGCTTGTTACAGAAAGAAATCCTCCTTCAATCATTTTTCAAATGTTTCCTTCAAACTTCCATGAATTTCCAGAATGAATGAGCCTAGGGTCGAAAAAAAAATAGAGAGGAGCCTTCTAATGACCAATTTTGGTCATGAAATGAAGAAAAACCAGATATTCATTCTCAAATGGGCTTTCATAATAATTATTGATGATCTATGCTCACAATGGTGATCAATAGGAGGACGGGATTTTCTCTTCTGAGCTCAAAGTCGTTTCTCCTTCTGGAGGCCGCCCATCTCCTCGTGCCGCCCCTCCGACCCTTCGGCCTTGTGCCGCCGACGCCTACATGCTCTTCCGAGTTCTCATCTCCCCTCTCATCAATTCTGAAAGAACCGTTCAGGATCTCTGTTTGCTAATCAACGCGGAACCATCGATTTGGCTTGTTGGCATTCAAGAAATGACGCGGACCCTCGGTTTGGAACTCCTCGAGTCACTTTTGAAGGGATTTCCTTCAGTTTTCATCAGGGTCAGCGTTCGGTTTTGTAGGCTTCTTTATTTTGAAATGTTGCAGCACACAGAGTTCGGCGGTTTGCTGCGCGACGACGTTTGTCCGCTGATTATTCGTCTTTTTTCTCCAAATGTTAAATCGATACAGGTACGTTTTCAGCTTCTTCTGGTTTGAAAACTTGGATTCAGAGGTTTTGAATTAAAAACAACACAAAACAAGTATATCAAGAATATCAATATAAAAATCTGCTCTGAAGTTTTTCGCCTAACAAACTTTTTATGAATGAATAATAATTTTTCCATATTTTTTTTGAAAACTTCAAATATACTTCCAGTTTCAAAACCTCATCAAATACGAAAAGCTTGAGAAGAACATGATAAAGAAATGTTGTTTTTCTGTCATTTTTATGGTTCTTCTTTCCAGGTGAGAAGTTATTTGATGATCTTTCTGGTCAAGAGAGCTTTGATTTTTGTGCGTTTTCCCAAATCAGCATTTTGAAAACAGATAAAATTTCCCGAAATTGTAAAAGTTCTGAGTTTCTGTGAGATTTTTGGTCTGTCCTTAAGCTAGTTTTTGTTTCTATAATGAAATCAGAGATGATCACAAAGTGTTAAAAGTTAATTCCGTGTTCAAAGTCATTTCTGAGAAGTAAATTTTGGAGAGTCAGTGATAGTTTTGAATTTTGCAGAAGTTATTTTAAACACGGAATAATAAAGTTTTTTTGGCCCCAGTTTTGCAATATTCAAAGGTTTCAGGTGGCTTCTCAACACCCATCCTCCCGCTCATCCATTACAAGCCTTTCAAATGTCGACCGTCCGTTTTTCCCGATCGCAATGCGACTCGTGAGAATCGTCACCCTTCTCGTCTCTTTCTATCATCAAATTTTGGTAGTTTCTGTAGTTTTCTAGACAAAATAACACCTTTCTTAGCCCACCGAATGTGAGATTTTCATCTCGACCCTGTTGAAATTTGTCGACGGCGACAAAAAAGGCTGGCAACGTCCTTTGGCCTTGGAGGCTCTCCACAGAATCATTGTCCGATCTGATCTTGTCAGGTTTTTTTTCCAACAAGTTATGGTTTGAAGTACAATGATGTAGATGGATCTGCGAAACGTTCGACTCGAAATCGAACTCGACCAAAGTTTTGGAAAACGTCTCGACTTGTCTCGCCTCAGTTGTACAGCAGTGTCTTATCGCCACTCAGTACAGTTCGGCTGGTTCGTTCTTTCTTTCTTTATATTGAAAGCCATTGGGTTCAAAATCTTGTGTGCTGTGAGAGTTCGTGAAATTGGAATCCAATGAATTAGGCAAATTTTTTCTTCATTTTTTTGTTACCTGGTTCAAGTTTTCTTTTCTTAGAAGAGAATGGAAACCGTTTCAGTCGATATTTTTGAAACTAGTTTCAAATTTTTTATATTTTTTTCAAGTTAATGCCATCAGAAGTTTACATTTTTTTGATTCGACTTAAATGTTGAAGCTTCAAAAAAACTATTCTTATCACACCCCCCGCTCAATAATGGTTCATCGGAATTAAGCTTAAGGAAGTTTTCCTATCAAAAATTAACGAATTTAATTTACTCCTTACCTTTTCTTTTTATTATTTAGTTTTAATTTGAGTTGAGTCAAGAAAATGTAGGCGAGTGGAGGATTCTCTCAAAGAACTTTTTTTTTAGACCAAGATCCGGAAAATGACAGAGGCCAGGAAAGCGGTGGACCCGGCTTTTTTTCTGCAAGGGCTTCTGGGTGCCCTACGTTGAACAACTTTCTGCCAAAAAATCCATTCTGTATGTTAAAACTTTGAAAAACAATTAAAAAGAATCTTATCACCAGAATATTGAATATTCTAGCCTTTTTTTTGAGTTTTCAAAAAGTTTTGTACTTTTTTCTTGCGGATTATTATCAAAATCATGATGAAATTTTGAAGAGAAGTCGCACCAAAAAGAAAAAGATCTTTTTCTTAACAAAAAGGCAGCTAAAATTAGAGAAGATAGGCGAAAGTATGTTAAACTCTCTTATTTGACAGTATTGACGCCTTGGACCGAATGGAACCGCCGACAATGCCCGAAGGATACGCGATATCGCGTTGTTGCGTCGCGATCTGCGACATGACGCAGGCCGTCTACGCGGCAGTCGACGAGCTTTGCTTGCCCGGTTTCGTCGCCTCGTATTCAACGTCAAATAAACGACGTCTTCAGACGAGAATCACAAGAGCGTCGACCAGAATGTCCACGTCGCCGAGGTCGCCTTCAAAAGTTCGCAGCCGCCGCTTCTTTTTGCCGTCAGCCAACTTCTTTCTTCGAGGTCCAGATGATTTTGGAAAATGTCTATTCTCAGTTTCAATCATACTTTGAAAAGCTGTAGAAGTTTTTTTTTTAGTTTAAACGTTTTATGACAAAAAAATGGAATTGAGCAAAACCAGTAATTTGAAATTTTAAAGTGCTTTTGAAGAATATCAATTATTTATATAACTTTTTTAATGAATAGGGAAACTTATGGGATTAGCTATATTCTCATTTTCGATCAGTTCTATCGATTTTTTTAATCATCGAAAGTGAAAAATTGTTGAAATTTATTTAACGTTTAAGAAAAATTTTTAAACTTCAAAATTTCGAGTGTACAGAAGAGAAAGCGCTTTCAAACTGATGAAATTTTCAAATTGGAGAGCTGTATTTTTTTTTTATCTGAATATTTCGCGAGACCTGAGAACGTAAATTTAAGTTAACGAAGCGAAAATAGGAACATGTCTTCTAAACGTTTTCAGAAAGTTTAGTTTCAAGCAGTTTTTTTTTGTCCGAAAACTTTTGGGTATTCTTAACTTTTTTTTTTGGAATTTTAGCTCTACGATTATCTCCATTTTTTCCTGTGTAAAGGACGTTTTTTTCTACAATATTTTTCATTTTTCGTAAATTTCCGTACAAATATATATGAAAAATCGATTTCTAAACCGTTCTGCGTGATTTTCATCAGTGAATTTGTAACTTTTTTCGCTATATTCAAAAAAAATTGAAGTTTCTCAAAATTTTAGTTGCGACGAAACGGTGAGTGATCAACTTCTGTGCTGCCTTTCGACGCTGATTTCGGCCGGATGCAGGTTTTTTCTCATAAATTTTCCGATTATTCAGTTTAAAATGTTTTTTTAGAGTCAACGCCGACGTGGAACTCCATCGAAGTGTCTACGCCCTGGCCAGCCTCAGCCTCCCGTCTCCCTCTTACTTATCTCAGTTTGCCGCTGTGGCGCCTCCTAAAATGGAAGGAACAGGTTCTTTTTCATTCCACTGACGGCTTTTCATTAGTAAGTATATCTTTTTTCCGAATAACATAAAATAATCAAAGACGTGACTTATTAATCTATCGAAGTGTGGATAAGAATGATAATGAGAATAAAAAGTGATAAGGATGACAAGAGAGATTCAAGAAGGTGCAATTTATGCAAATTAATACAGGTCGTTCTGCCCGAGATGTTAAAGTTTTTAAAGCGCAGCAGAAACAAAGCTACCATAGAAGCTACTTTCTTTGCCCTTTTGCTCTACAGCATTGCAAAAAGAAAAGGTCTTGAAGCGAAGTTTGGTCGAATATCGTCTAATTTAATATACGGCCTTTTTTGCAAAAAAAAAAATGGAACGAGCTGGGTTCTCAGAAAGAAAAAAAGGAAAAAAGTTAATGGTAAAGGAAGATTAGGAATGTTAAAAAAGTTCGCTAACAGCTATCTTAGTTAAATTAGCTTAATTTTTTATTATTGTTTCAACGAAAAGTTTATTTTAGTGATCAGAGACGTTATAGATTATGAGTTGTTCACGGATATGGGCAGTTGGTCTTCTTCGACGCAAGTTATGGCCACGGGTCCGCCCTGTCCTTGTCCGGTCATTTCCACTGAGCTTTGGAATCGTCAAGTTATGGTTCGTTTCTTATTCCCTCTCCCATTAAGATAATCTCATCCAAACGCGTAGTCAATACAAGGTTTCCTCAAAAAAAAATCAAAAATAACGTAACGCCCGATTACAGGAGGCTTTTATAACTGAACTTACCAAATAATTGTTTTTAGACTGGTTCTCAAAGCTCTTAGAATGAGAAAGGATGTTCAGGTAACATCGAAAAATATCCAAGCGGCTCGAGCCCTACTATCATCAATAGCTGCCCATGCTGCATCTCTCAACGATTTATGGTAATTTTTTTTTTTTCATTAACTTAACCCAAACTCTCCCTACATCTATTTCGTGAAATTTAGTACTTGTGTGTGAGAAATAAAACATTTTGATTTTGATTTGAACTTGGTAGCTTGATGACGGAGATTCTGGCTCAGAAGCTTCTTTTTTTGACCATCCTTTTTATCTTCTTCTTCTCTCATTTTTTTTTCTGCTCATGTATGAGTCTGAGAAGTAGGTCTGGCCATGTATGAGTCTAAATAGCGGTAACAATATTTCAAAGCAGAAATAGTTCAAATTTTTTTGCATCTTTTTTACTAGCGTGTTGAAAGTTTGTTAATTAAGGTAATTTTACTTTGAGGCTAGGAATCCCTCGAAAGTTTGGCTGAACACTTTTTGATCGACTAGATCAAGGTCCTGAAAGTCTCAACCTGCAAAACATCCTAGTTTTTGATAAACAAGGGCTCAAAGTCTTGAAATGACCTATTTTTTTTTACCGATTTTAAGAGTTCTCCCTGGCTTTAAAGTGTCATCAGCTCAAAAACTATAAATTTGTGCAGATTAAGATATTCAGGATCTTCTTCTGGTACATTACGGATTGTTCTGACCTTTTCAATAAACTCAAAGTAAAATGAATTTTCTTGTTAGCTTTTCTACGGAATTAAAAACGAATCCAGACTTTTTCCAATTAAAAAAAATCTCAGGTATCTTTGTCTGGTCTCATGTCAGCATCTGACGTGGCTTTTGGCAGTTCGTCCGACTCAAATTGGGTTGTTCGGCCGCGAAACTCGGGAAGATAGCCAAGGTTATTTTCCTCTTAATTTGGATTGAATGAGTTGATTTTTCAGTCAATGGACCTATTACTATCACCACCGCCGCTTTACCTGATATTGCTGTTTTGGTTATCAATCAGCCACAATTTCTTTATTGAATATATATTCTTTCAGGCTTCAATGTTGGACAAGATACCTCCAGCCGTCATTCATCTCGACGATCAACAACTTTTGAGAGTTTTGGACGCCTTGATGCGGTTGGTTTCATTAAAAAAATCGTTATTATAAATTCGAAGTTAAATAAAAAAAATACTCAATCAGTTTTTCTAATGAAGAATTTTTCATTTTTAAGTTTTTTTCAATCAAGTTTTTTTGTATTATATTGGAAATTTCTGTATCCGAAGTTCAAATTTTTCATTTTAATGATTGATTTTTTTGAGTTATTTGTGGAAAAACAGTCTGAATTTTTTTCCGCTGTTTTCATTTTCTCATGTCTCAAAATTTTTGAATAAACTGAAATTGAAGATTAAATCATGAAAACTATTAAATTTTTCCTATCTCTCTCGAATTTTTTTGCTCTTGCTGACATGACCTTTTGAAATGATCACAAACAATAATTCACAGTCATCAAAAATAAGTTTCGGAGTGTTCAGCCATTTATTCCAAACAAAAATCTGCAAGATCGCGATTTTAGAAATTTCGTGATACAAAAAGGTCGGATACTACGAAAATCGATTTAAAAAAAGAATTATTATTAAAAAAAGTAAAAAGAAACGGATTTTCAGTTCATCCGACGAAAATCTGGCCGTGGCTGCGACTGGTCGCGATTGCTCCCTCTTTTCCTTGGCTCTGATCCTCCGGAATTGTTCCCTCAACTTGGAACGACTTTCTGTCTTTTGGCAGAAAATGTCGTCGCATTTCATCAAAGTAGAAGATTAGGAGCTTTTTCTAGTTTCGATTTTTGAACTTTTAGGTTTGCAATCACACTTCTGTTTCGATGCGAGATTGGGCGGCGGTTGGTTTGACGTCGCTGGTCAAGCAGGCGATGAAGACCAGGAGCACTATGGATCAGAAAGTGACTATTATTACTGATTCAGATTTCGTCTATGCCTACAAGAAAGTGTCTGAGTTTGGGTCTAGTTCAAGCTTTTGTGTCCTTTGGGAGCATGTTTAAAAACAAGAAAATATACCTTCCGAAAGCCAAAAGAAGTTGAAAAGCTGCTTCTCACGTGATTTTCAGGGAAAAACCACAAAGTTCCCAATTTCATACTAAAATACATCTCAGACATTTTCAAGTTCAATCAGTCAATCAATCAATTTATTTATTTTTCACAACATCGGTATGGTATGGTGATGTTGCAGGGAGGGAAAAAGACCACTAGGTGGATTAACTAACCCCACCTGTGAAGAAAAAAAAAGTTAGAAATATTAATTGACCTCGTTGAGAAAAAGCTAAAATAAATTTCTTCGAGGAGCAACAAGAGCTGTGTTTGTCGTCGTTGCTGGCGCTCTGCTCGATTCCGCACATCCAAGTCCGACGACGACAACTCGATTGCGTCATGTCGCTGCTCCAGACGGACGGCGCTCAGTTGACGCCGTCTCTCTGGCCCACAATCATTCAGATCATCTCCGCCATCATCGACAGCGACGTCAGGTCAGTGAATATTTATTTGGAAGAAGAGTTCACCAGCCTATTTCTTTTTTTACTTTTACAGAAGACTTTAGAGGCATGCTTTTTATTTTTTTTTAATGCAAAAATAAAATTGAAATGGCGCAGAACAAGTCTGCGCCTAACTACTATTCAACGAATCAATTTTTACCAGGACTTCAAAGAAGTAAGGTTCACATGTGTCTCCGCTTTTATTCTGTTTATGTGTCACTTATAGGAGTTTCAACCAAGAAATCAGGGGGACGGTGAAGAACAAATGAGAAAGTGAATCATACCCTTCTTGCATCACCATTTTTGTTTTTTTGATGAAATTCAATCTTCCAAAAAAAAATTTTAAATTAATTTTTCTTCAAATTTGACTCCGAAATAAGTTCAGCAGTGAGCTGTCGTTAGTGAGGCAAGGATACCTCGGTCTTCGCCTCGTCTCTTCCGATTTTCTGCCTTCGATCCCTTTCAACTGCGTTTCGGGGCTAGTGGAAGCCGTGGCTCGGTATGGCAAGCAGAATACCGATCAGAATATCTCACTTTCTGCTTTGACCTTATTAGTTTGTTTCTCTTCCGAAACAAGAAGACTTATTTGCTGGTTCAGTGGACCATTTCGGACTTCATCTATCGCAAAATGGACATCGTCGGCGCGGATGAATCAGAAAAGGTAGTTGAAATACGAACTTCTTTGAACTCCTGAACGTTCCGAAGGTGTGGATGGTGCTGTACACGTGCCTCTCGGAGTCGTGTGTTGACGCCAGATTCGCCGTCCGGAAAAGCGCCTGTCAGACGCTCCTCCAGACCGTTACCGCCCATGGACATGCTCTAAGGTCGGCCGCCTGGAACGAGATGATTTGGCAGGTTGACAAGGGGTCCTGAACCTTCTCTAGAAAGCTCTTCAGATAATGATCCCTTTGCTGGACAAAGTGAGGTCCCACACACGTTGCGCCTCAACTGAAAGGACCAACGAGGAGTTGATCATCCATCATTCGAGGGACACTGAGCAGGTTCTGGAAGGATTTTATTAAGGCCTCATCAGGAAAGAAGAAAAATCATAAAAGGAAAGTGTTTAAAAAAACAACGTTTTTTTGATTTTTAAAATGAGTTTCTCTGGTGAAGAAAGTGTCAGTGAGCACTGCAAACTAAGGAACCTTGGAAAAAAATTCCCAAAAACCCAAAAAAAGCATTTTTTTGTTGTTAATTTTGGAAGTTTCGTTTACTTTAGAACCTTCTTTTTTTAATACCCAGTGCCCCAGTGTCGTTGGAATAATAATTTGGAATAAAGAAAACTTTCGAAAACATAAAAAAATTTAAGGTGAAAATGATTTGAAATGTAGGGAAAGATTCAGTTTTTTTACTCACTTCCTTTTAACGTTACGTTTCTTTTTTTCCGTTTCTTCGAGGTCATTTTTTTCGGAAAAATTTTTATTAATTTTTTTATGAGCATTCTTCAGAAACAATGGGTGGAAACGTGCATACACACACTGTCGGCCATTTCGAAGATTTTCAACTCTCAACGGAAATCTTTGCTCGTTTTGGGTAGATCCAAATGATGAACTGAATTTTGAAAGGATTATGTTCAGACGATTTTGGCGGTGTTTGGGAGGCCCTGATGAGTTATTTGGAATGGGCGGCCTGCTATGAAAACGCCGAACTTTCTCTTTCCGCCATCAAAAGCTATCAGGAGGTTAGTAGAGTCCATTATAATTCATAAACAGTTTGTCTCAGTTGAAATTTACATGAGTTTGCAGTTATTAAAATATATTTTATTAGTGGTCGAGGGTGTGCAAAGCAGTAACTTGCGTTTCTTAATGGTATATAATTTCATGATCGAAATATGATTCATTCACAGTTTACTATAAAAAAAATAGACATAAACTCATTTTTTTATACAATTATTAGTAGTCCAGAATGTAAAAGAAAAGAAGCTTCGCTTAGAAAAAGGGTCTATCGATACAAATTTCAGTGATTCATAAATTTTCTTCGGAAATTTCAACATCATTCCAAAGTTTTATAGGTTCTACTGGGCCGAATATCCACTCAGACGCTCAATATAAACAGTCACGAGAAGAACAGCGGGTTCGTTTTTCTTTTTCGAATAAAGTGTTCGCCTCGGCTCTAATGACTGTCTGGCTTGTCTGCGCTCTCTTTTCTCTAAATTTTTTTTTCTTAATTTCATTATTTTTCTATATAGTTTTGTATGAAACGGTGCGGTCGCCTGGCGTTTTGGCGCTACTTCAAAATCATCTCATGATTAGGACGCTTCTTGAAAATTAGTATTATTTATTGTTTTTGTAAAAGTACAATAGCTCCTTTTTTAAGAAATATTTTATGTAATAACTAGCTTAATTTGTCGAAAAGAAGTGTGAAAACACCCAAAAATGCGTTGAAAATTTTAACTGCAACAAAAAAAAACGCGGCCTGGCCGATTTGCACGTACTGCACGGGCAAAGTCTAGAAGGACCTAAAATAAACCTTTGAAAAAAAAAGCATCAGCATCATCTTGATCTTTTTTCAAAAGTAAAAAAAGGATTTCGAGAAACTTTTGACACCTTTTTAGGAACTCAAAAAGGAGCTCTAAACTCTTTTTTTGACCTTTGCCGGGTCTAAATGCTGCGTACTGTTGTTTTAAAATCAGAAAAGGGTATGATGGCGAAAATCCAAAAAAAAAAGCACAGCGTCAAACGAAAAAATTTGAAAAATTAAGAAAGTACCAAAATACGTTTTCATTAATAGAAATTTTTCTTCTCAGAACTGATTCTGTACTCGATGTGGCTGCCCCAGAATTGCCCTTGAAGCAGTGGCTCGAGTCTTGGCAGGTTTTTGACCATTTTTGTCTTCATAAAGACTTTTTGCATTTTTCCAGACTTGGCTGAAAATCTCGCGTGGACTTGCGAGGCTCGGATCTTCAGCCACGATTCACTTGCAGAGTAGCTTTTTCTCCAATATTCTCTCACTCAAATTCCGCATTTTTAAGATGAAAACGGAGGGAAGTCTCTGTATGTACCCGGTCCATCTCACTTGACGACCTTGCTGCACGTCTTCCCGCCGTTATTCGACAACATCTCCAAGAATATCACCGTAGATGATCTGAAATACGAGAGCTTGCCAACAGTTCTGGAGGTTTATTTTTTTCTAGTAGTGGAGTATTGTTAAACAAGAAAAAATTTCAAATTATAGAAGAATAGAAACCGTTAACGGAGAAAATCCGGAAAAAAAACGAAACAGTTGGGAATTTTATTGGTGAAATGAAATTCTTAAAGCCTTTTTATTGGGTAATCCGAATCAGAAAGATAATTTTATAACTGAACTCCTGAGATGTCTCATCAAACCTACCTCGAATCAACATTATCCGAAGCTTTGAAATTTCACATTTTCTTATTGTTGCTCATGTTAGCAACTTCAATTTTTGAAAAAGAGAATCCTGACGTTGAAAACTTTTGTTATCTGAAAGTGCTCTGAAAAAAAGTTTGGTTTTTCAATATTGAAACTGAAAATACAAATCATTTTATCTAACAGGAGATGTCATCCTACTTGTAAATATGGACTTTAAAATTAATGTCCCACTTTTTTGAGCTATCGAAGATACTCAAAATTCCAATTCTTGAATTCAAAATTTTAAGACCCTGGAAAGTAAATAAAAAAATGGCTGATTTTGATAGGGGATGCTTCGAATTTGTAGTTCCCTACAAAATGTTCAAGAAACTTTTTTTTTTGTGGAAACAGGGTTTTTTTTTAATTAGGACTTCACAAATTTCCATCGAGTAAGTCAAGGTTCTTTCCCTTTCTCAGTAAAATACGGAAGCTTGAATATATTAACGCACTTTGTGAACCACGCTGCTTTTCTTAAATTGAGGATTTTTAAGAGTATGATCAACGTGCCGATCCCATCAGAACAAGTTCCATTCGTTCTTCCCTCGTCCTCCACCCACCTGACACCGACCCAAGAAGCTCTTCTTGACGCTGTTAAAATTATTTATGTGGTAATTCTTGTATTTCTCTATTTTTATAAAAAAAATCTTCAAGGAATGCACGATGGCGGGAAGTTCTTTGAGAGCTGCGATCCCTGACCAAATTAGGCTTTTGCTTCGATTCGCCGCTTTGGCCACTGCAAAAATCACTCACAAAGTGGCTCCCGGTGGACAAAAGAGCTATGTCAGTTTCTCAAGAAAAAAAAAGAAATGTTTTTCGATAATTTCAGAGAGAATACGCGATGAACTGCATCGTCCCATTCGCAGAGTATTCCCTCCGGATGGCCGTCGATTTTTTCATTCAAACGGCTTCATTTCCGGAAACGTCCAACTCAATGATTATTGTCGACATTTTGAAGGTTTTGAGGACGAGAAACTCTCAAAAAATTGAAGGGATAAGTTGAAATTGGCTTTAAATGTGTTCCTTTTTTCGAATCCAAGGTCTTATTCTCTTCGTTTTTTTCAGTACATTTCGAAGATCTCAATTTTTTTCTCTGAATTAAAAAAATATATCGTTGACTCAGCCTATTTTTTTCTTGTCTTGAAACGATGTGAAGTCTTTTTTTAAGGAAAAAAATATTTTGGATTTTAACTCAGATAATCAACCGTTGAGCCCGGCCTCAATCTTATTTTCTCCTCGGCTTTAGTAAGACGCTGCATGCTGAAACAATTAAGAATTGATAGATTCGAAAGGAAGTTTTCCAAATTTTTCTAGAACAATTTTCATTTTTTTTTTGGAGCGCTTCAGAAGTTTCATATTCATAAAATCCATTTTCACGTCCGGGGCTTCATTTGATAATTATTTCACCATTTTTTATTTCTTGTTTTTCAGTTCCTTGGAGAACCGCTTTATCTCAAGTACACATGCATATCGCCAAACACCTGGAAATTAGCAGCCATTTCTTTGATGTCTGTTTTAAAAACGGCTATCCCAAATGCGCGGCAGAATGGTAGGGGCTCTTGAAAATTTCTCCGTTAATCAAACATTTTCCAGCAGAAAAGTTCTCAAGTCTTTGGCCAGCGCTGTGCGAAACGATGGAGAAGTTCTTGTTTTCACCAAAGTGGGTTTTTTTTCCTGAAAGTTTCCTGAAAAAAGGTATCTAAAAAGTCTGTTATTATATTTTATCCTACGGTTAAGGACCTTTTGAATGATCTTTTGTATTTTAAACACTTTAGCAATTCGTTTTTTCCTATCTGTTGATTTTCTCAACTGAACGCTTTTTTTTCATTTCAGCGGCTGCAGCCGACTGGCAGCAGATGAGCGCAAGAGAGACGAGCTTCTGGAATGTCAGGTTGGGGAGTCGGACTCCTGAAAGGGTTGTAATTGGGGATACAGGCGATCGAGGTGATCCGGACGGAGATCCTGCCTTATGCGTCAAGGCTGCCACCTGAAGATGTTCAGCGCCTTATCGCCCTTCTTCATCGCGGCTCCATTTCGCAGCTCGACCCGACGGATGTTCTTGGTTCGTTGATAAGATTACTGATTCACGCTTGACTGATGTCTTCTTTTTTCATAACCAGCTGATAAGATTCATGACACCCTACTTTGAGCTCTTTTCTAACCACGTAGAAAAATGTTAATTAGTTTGTATTGATATGATTACTGATTTATTCTTTAAAAAGTTTTTTCATAACCAGGTTCCTGATTTTGAAGTTTTGTACTGATAAGATTTCTGAAAACCTCAGCTGAACTTTTTTTTCAACCGGGGTAAATTGAACTGCGTTTTTATGTATAAGATTAATGTTTCATGCAAAAGAGAGCTGTTCTTACCGAGAAAAATGTTTTGTTTTCGTTGAATTTTCATTCACTCTTTATTTTTTGACACTGCTTTCTTTCCGCAACTGCGAAAGTTAGGCCTTTTTTAAGTGTTTTTTCGACCTTCACGATAATTATGACGGTTTTTCTTTTACCTTGTATTTTATGATCCTCAAACTTTTTTGATAACTCAAGAGAGACAGGAAAAATGGGTAACGTCTGATTAAACTTTTTACATAATTTGTAAATTTCTAATTTTTTTCGACAAAAAAATGATCCAGAAAAAAATGTCGTAGAGAAAAAGAAGTAATTATAATTTGAAAAAAATTAAAAAAAATCGTTCTGATTATCGTAAAAGTCGATATGAAAATTTACCGTCCGTGCTAACTTCCGTAGTTGACCTTTCTGTTTCTTCAATCTGGGCTTCTAACAATGCTTATTTCCAACTTTAACTTCACAACTTTCCATGCAAACTAACACTGTTCTGAGTTAACTTCTCGGCAGCATGCTCATGCATTTTCTTTAGCTTCAGACTCGCACGCGCAACGTTCCGAACTGGCCAAGGCCTGTTTCGACGCTCTCCTTAACACTTCTGGCGGAGAAGAAGACGAGAAGCTTGGAAATGTCGCTGTCACGAGTCTTCTCCAGCGCTGCACACAGGTCGCTCTCCAAATATGGCTTCTGCTGAGAATATCGCTATTTTTAGGTGATGGCCGACTTCATTCGCGACGCCACTTCCGCCGGTGATTTTCAGCTGCCGAGGTCGAGGGTTGGCGAGGCCGTGACGGCTCTTCAAGCTATTGATTCATTAATTGGAAGGCTAGCCAGGTAATCTGCTCATTTTCTGTCAAAATAGGAAAAAATCAGTTACGCAAATCTTTGGCTCACTTTTCTTCAAGTGTTTTTGAATTTTTGATCTGTTTTATAAGCCTAGTTCTACCTCTTTCAGAAGTCCCAAGGCGACGGAACTTTACTCACAGCTCGTCTCTCTGTTCCCTTCGATCGTCGACGTCATTCCCTGTGCTGGAGCTGATCCAGCTCTCCAGGCCCAGCTTATCAAGACGCTCAAGTCTTTTCAGACCTTGCTCCTCCTCCAGAACATTCCTCAATATTCTCAAGCGTGATCTTTGATGATCCTTCCGTACTTGTTGATTAATATGTAGCATTTTTCAGTTTCCTGAGTTTTAGAGCACCCGAAGTTTTTTAGGCACTGTTCACTTTACCTTTTTTGTGTTGTGACTAATTTTTAGAGGTGTAGATTTTATTGAAGTGATGATCCTCAGGCTTTGTAGAAATTTGTGAGTTTTTTTTCTTCTCTGTATTGTTCATATCCAAAAGACCACCTCAGATCATTTTTTCTTTGTTCTTTTGGCCTCGGCTACCCTATTTTTTGGTGCTGGCACTTCACTAATGTTTTGACTTGCGGGATTAATTTATTGCTACTACTAGTACTTTTCTCACCGATGTGGTTCGCTGTGAATGGGCCGGTATAATAATTTTGTTCGAGAAGTTTTCCTGCAGAGATGTATCTTTGGTTTATGTGTTATGGGTCTACCAATGACATTCTGTGATCGTAAATAAATTATTTTATTTATTACTTGATCGTCTTTTTTTCTGATTATTGGAACGTTCGACCGGTTGATACATGGGAAATTATTTTTATAGTTTCAATTCGAAGATGGTCAATGTATAGTATCTTCTAGAGCAGAAATACTGGTCACTTTTTTTTGATTCCGATTTCTAGTTTCAGCTCTTGAAAAGGTTTTCATCAAAGACTTGCTGATTGTGGGAAAAACAAAATCATATTTTGAATTTCAAAACTTGACGAACTCTTAAGTTGAAGATGGAAACGAGAAAAGTGGACTACGATTTATTTTGGGAGCTTAAAAAAGATGGTTCTGTATTCATGCGTGATGAATCCCGTGAAAGGCCGTTATCAGAGTCGTATCTCTTCTTTCCCACGTCAAAAGGACCGGGCAAGTTTTTGAGCCGTACTAATATAAGTCTGTTCAGATTTTGAATAGTCTACTGTTACAGTATCTTGTCGCGTCGTTCAACGCGACGATGATCCTTTAAAAACGCTACATTTTTGATTTTTTTTTTGGACTCATAGCTTGAAAAAGATAGTTAAAAATGAAGCGCTATCACAGAAAGACGTGGGCGGAGTTAGCTATTTCAAATTCAAACTTTGAAATTAATATACCTGTGATTTGGGAATCTTCAGGTAGGCAGGAGCTGGACGACTTGTGTAGGGAAGGACTGGAAAGTCTGACCGAGGCGATCCTTGCTTGCGATGGCGCTTGGAGTCTTTTGTACTATAATGTGAGTGTAGTTTGATCACCGCTGGTTTTTCACTAAAAGT